CAGGCAAACTTCCCTGGGGAGACCATTCCACAGACGGAGAGCCACCTCAGAGAAGGCCTGTTCTCGTGTTGCCAACCTCCAGGCCTCTTGAGGAGGAAGCACATGAAGGAAGGCCTCAGAAGATGATCTCGGGGTCCGGGTAGGTTCATATGGAAAGAGGCGGTCCTTGAGGTATTTCGGTCCTTAGCCGTTTAAAACAAAAGGAAATTGTACACTTTCTTGTAGTCAGTGGTGATCAGTTGGGGTGTCCAGTATGCAACTTGTTGCCATTTGTTTTTGCAAATATAGAAACCTCCATTCATTTCTCCACACTTGGATTCTGTACATGGAGAACCACTGAACAGGGCTGAAGTGTACACATTGCATGAAGCGTTGAAACCCCTAAGACAAGGCAAGGTGACTGTTGAAACTGGTTTTGAGCAATCATCTCTTCAGAGCTGACAAGTGCATTATGTCTTCCTTCTGTTAAAGGAAGTGAATTTTCAGTATCCAGAGCTGTTTTAATTTTAGGTCAACTTTTACCCTTAGGATGACAGGAAAAGTAATTAAAAATATATCTAAAACCAACTATAGCCTTTTAAAAAAACATACAATGGAACATACATTTCAGGGGGCTAAAACTGGTTTGTGACTTCCTAACACACTTCTATACATATACATATAGCCCCATCAAACATTGTTTGGTAGAAGCTCAACTTTACCATGTACCTGCAGCATGGGAAATGTTGGAGAAGTGCCCAAGATGTAAGCAGGATGTGGTTCACCAGAACTTGTAAAAGAAGCATGAATGGTTTGGGGAAAGAATAATGAAGGTTCAGAAGGCAACAGTCACAGAAGAGAAGTGAGCTGACATGCATGGAATAGGCATTCAAGACTGAAGGGGTCTGGCCTTGGATGTGGATTTGTTTTTTTACTTTTTCAGGTGCAGTAGCAGTAATTTGATTCAGCAACTAGAAATAGTGGACCAGTGGTGGGGAACATGTTGCCCTGGATGTTGTTGAACTCTGCTCCCATCAGCTCTAGCCAGCATGACAACGGTCAGGCCTGATAGGAAATAGCAATCCAGCAACAACTGGAGGGCCACAAGTCCTCCACCACTGGAGTAGATGGGTGGTCTCATCCTACTTACAAGTCAAACCCTACTAATCCTATTGTGCGCAAGCTAAAGAAACTTTGAGATCCTGACTTTTCAGTTCTGTGTTGTGCTTGGCAGAAGACCATGTTAAAGGGTTTCTGTCATGTTAAAATTCAAAACTTTTGCCCAGTTTTGTGTTCAATCTAACAAGGAAGCTCTTGTTACTATAAGTTCTGACAGAATTTGCCTGCACCCTCACCATTACCTCATTGACTTGTATAAATATCCCTGGCTTCATCCAATTACTGGTGGAAGATGCTAGTTTTATTACCATTGTCCTAGAATTAATTCATGGTAAGTAAGAGCAGATATGACCATTAGATATGGTAGACATTCTGAAGACTAATAAGGCTTGCACAATGCTGGTGCCTGTGCAGAGTTCCAGTTAAAGTAAGCTTCTTGGTAACAGTACAGTGGTACCTCGAATTACATACGCTTCAGGTTACAGACTCCGCTAACCCAGAAATAGTACCTTGGGTTAAGAACTTTACTTCAGGATGAGAAGAGAAATCATGCAGCAGCAGCAGGAGGTCCCATTAGCTAAAGTGGTGCTTCAGGTTAAGAACAGTTTCAGTTTAAGAACGGACCTCTGGAAGTACTTAACCCAAGGTACCACTGTACTTGCTGCTGGAGTTGATGCCCACATGAGTAGTGTTTTAACAGGCACTGTGTGCAATAACTAACTTTTTGAATTGAGAATTCCACTTTTCTCAAACGTGATGTTGCAGAGAATACCAAAGGATTCATGGGGCAAGGTGTTTTGTGTGTTTGCCCTTGACTTGATCTAGGGATGGATTAAGGTATATTCTAGAACTGGTGTCAGCTTCACTTTAGCTGATGGACCTAGTTTCAGCAGACTACAGAATGCTGCGTTGTAGCCAGATATGTGTGACTTCATGGGAAGCTGAAAATTGCACCGATTTTCTGGTGCCGGATCCATCATCTTCACATGTTTTATCCTAGCACCTGAAGTATAGTTTTATAATGAGTTTAGTGAGAGGCTTTTATGTTATTAACTTGGCTGGTTAATATTACAACAGTGCCTACATGAACAAATTACAAGATAAAATGTGGAATAATGATCCAATTTTTCATTACTGTGCTGACCCCAGTACCATAGAAACAGCCTCCCCGTGCCCTGTTTAATTATATTGCAATTTTTAAGATCAGCATGCATAATCCTCTTTTTGACTGTGTGATTTGTCTCTACAAAAGATAAAAGCCTTCCATGCAAGATATCCAAGATAACTTGGATAGTTTATAATTATACAGGTTTTTACAAACTTGGCATATGTGGTCAGAAAGGGCGAAAGGGAGGACTGGTTGATATAGCGTCTTGCATTGTTGCAAAAATCAGTTGATGTGGGGAGGAGGGGAAGAAAAGCCTTGCATAATACTTGTGGAGCCCATAACCCAAAATTGCTGCGGCTACTGCCTACCTAAATCGACTCAGTCAAAGCAATTCTCTGACAGTGGAAGAAAGGTGTGTTCTAAGTCCTAGCCCAATGGCTTCGTTAAGCAGCCTGCTCTCAACAGGCCAAAAGCCAATTAAATCCCCACACACACCTTAAGTGGTACTGTAAAAATTCTAAACATAGTAGCCATGTTAGCAGAATTGTACTGTAAAACACACATGCAGTAGTTGTTCACAGTACTACCCATGGAAAGTTGGTTCATGTTGGGCTGGCCAACCTATCATGTGACAATGTTGGCCCGAAAACAAGAAGCAGAACTAGATGAACCATTGCCCTGATCCAGCAGGCTCTTCTTATGTTCTTAGATGATAGAATTTCATATTGTGGCATAATCAGGAGTCTGAGCTGTTCATGGTATGTCAGCTAATTCAGATGCCAACTCTGTCTGCCAACAACTTGCCCAACCTTTCTGTCAACATCTTCTGGCCTAACTGTGAGCTATTAATGTTTTAACTGAAGTCCCTGGCACAAATTTGATAATTTTGTGGCGAAGTGGTTAAACTATGGAAGGGAATCCTTGAGCATGGAGATGGATGGACTTTTTTCTGTTGCTAGGTGGGTGGGTGTTGCAGTGGGTGAAGCCAGCAGCATGTGGTTTTGATTGATCGATCCAGAATTTGCTTCAGTTTGCAACATGGCCACCTCTCATTACAATTCCCAGTACCATACAGATCTCATTGGAAGTAAGCCCTATTGGTTTTAATGGGATCCCCTCAAAAAGTCTACAGGGGGTTTTGTACAACGTTCCAATACAGCTACTGTTCTGGGGGCTAAGTTAAAGTCATTCCTTTCTGACTTTAGTGTGCTATATACAAATACACACACCGACATATATAATCATAGTAAGCAGTTAAGTGGCAGAAGACTAACAATTGTTCCCAGACAGCCAGGGGCAGAGGAACGTGGCATTTCCCTAACCAATACATCCAGGACTAAAATAAAAATAAAAATAAAAACCTGTTAATTTTTATTCTCTTCCTTTCTATGTGAAATGAGGGGGGATGCAGTTAGGAAGTGAGGAAGAACTTAAGAAGAAACAGGAAGGGAGGACCTCTGGCATGGAAGAACAGGGTAGATTCAGAAGGGTGCAGAGGACACACAAAACGTTGTCAGGGACTTCAGGTTGGCCACCTTGGCATGTGCTCTGGTGGGATCTTTAAAAACTTGCTCCTCCTTTCTACCTTGTACACAGGGTCATTAGGCAGATGACCTCCAGCACTTGACAAGGGATCTCAATCTCCTGTTCATCGAAAGACGTCCTAGCATTCTTAGTACTTACTCAATGCTTGACCGTTAAGCAACTAGAATTCTTTTAAGTTATTATCAATGTGTAAATGTTAGTTTAATCCCTTGGAAATAGGGTACATGAATTTTGCAATAAAACGTGCACACCTTCAGCCATGAATGATGGCTTTTGCTTGAACGACTAATCCACTGTTAAGCTGAGTAAAGCTATTGCTTTGGGGATTAGCTTGAAGGTAGATGTGGCCAGGGTGTGTCTGTGCCTCAAGCCTACTTTGCAACAACAAGGGGTTGGGCAAAAGGTTATCTGAAACAAGAATGGGTCCCCCAACATCTCAGGACGTGCACACACCCCTGTGCAGACATCCTAGGCTCTAGGAACATAGGAAATGTCTTGCATACAAGCAGAAGAGCTTGATGCATCAGGCCAATGGCCCATCTAGTCCAGCATCCTGTTCTCACAGTGGCCAACTGCATTTATATTAAAAGCCTGAAAATAGAACCTGAGTGTAACAGCACTCCCCACTTGCAATTCGCAGAGTCAAACCACTGGTCTATCTAGTTCAGTATTGCCTACACTGATGGGCAGCCATTCTCCAGGGTTTCAGACAGTGGAAATTCCTAGATCAATATGGAGATGCTGATGACTTTCTGCATGCAACGTGACACTTTCTGCATGCAAAGCACCAACTTATGGCACTTCCTCCAGGCTCTAGTGCATGTCTGTGATGTCCTCTACATATCCCAGACTTCTGCAGGACTCTGTTCACCATAGATGGACAATGTGTTCAGGACCTTGTACAAATCGTATTCTTCACTCTTCCAGTTGACCCTTCCAGAGTGCCTGATCTATGCTGTGCAGGCCAATGGTGTTTAGCCAGATCAATTGTTTACTGTTGGATTCCCTAAATTCTGTAGGGGGCGGGGATCCTCAAAGTCTTGTGCAGGCAGACTTCATTATTTCACTCATCTCTAGCTCTTCTGAGTGCTAGCTCAATTGGACATACATTTTGCCATATTCACATGATCGGCTGCCAGCTGCCACATAACCTGATTATCAGTATTGAACAACCCCTTTTTGCTTTGGCTACTTTAAGAAAACAGTGCCTAGTGCTGCCCTTCGTAACATTTGCCCTCTTGTCTTTCAGGTCAAGAACGTTTTGGCAACATGACCAGAGTGTACTATAAAGAAGCTGTCGGTGCTTTTGTAGTATTTGATGTCACAAGAGGCTCAACATTTGAGGCAGTTTCCAAGTGGAAACATGACTTGGACAGCAAAGTGCTTCTCCCAAACGGCAGCCCAATCCCTGCAGTTCTAATTGCCAACAAATGTGACCAAAAGAAAGACAGTGGCCAAAATCCTTCTCAGATGGACCAGTTCTGCAAAGAAGGAGGTTTTGCTGGGTGGTTTGAAACCTCTGCAAAGGTAAGAATATTCTTAAACCAGGGTAAGCTTTAAAGCTTATGTGTACATATGTGAAAAACAAAAGCTGTGCAAAGGCACACTTACAAATTGAATTACAAAAGTTTCTGGCCTGAATAAATGTTTGTTATCTGATTTCTTTCATATATCGGTCTGATTTTGTCTCAGATACAGTTTTGGGGAACAGCTATTATTATTATTATTATTATTATTTCAATTATTATTAGTATGATTACTTTCTTGTGACAAATTCTGTTACAAAAGAGAAAATTTGAATACAGCTCTAAAATATGGCATAATAAATTGGGGAAAAATGTCGCACAATGTGTATTCACTATCGCCCTTACCACGGAAGTCAATCTGTGTTTGATCATGTAAGAAGCCAAATGTCCCAGAGCTTATTGCCTATCCTTTCTTAATTTCGATGTGGTTCTTAATTTAGTGTAAATAAATCTTCTTGCCATGTAATTATGTGGTATATGATACTTATTTGTTTTAGTCATATGAACGGTGAAGCATTCAAATCCAGGAAATGAAACTTTAGACCAAACTTTATAGTTAATGGCTGTGCTTTTGATCTAAAGAGCACATCGCCTGAAACAGTAACGGCTTCTAGGAAGCTCAGACACATGTGACTTTTAAAAGAAATGGCAACCCCACTGCTTCTTGCTTTGAGCAAACATTTGAATAACTAGAATCACAACCCATTTCTCATGATAAATGTGTAAGGAAGCATAGCTCATTGGCAGAACATTTGACTATAAGTTCCAATTCAGTTCTGGGTGTTCACTCAATAGTGGTTCTTGAAAGGAAGACGTGTAGCTCAGTAACTACTGTAAGTACCGGTATATCCTTGATGTTTTAAGGGGGCCCAAGTTCTAAGTTTCATATATCTCTGCTGCTACACATAGCTGACTAATTGGGGCAAAATTGCAGATGGGAGCTAGTATAATTTCATCCTTCTGAAAATCACGCATTCAGGTGCAGATGTTGTCCATCACTAGCATATTACTTTTGACAAGGAATGGGCATTCAGATCTAAATAGGCACCCACATTCTGCCCCAACTACTTAATTGAACCACACATATGTAGATGCGGAGAAATCTTGCCCCATAGCAATGGTGGGCAATGGAACTGCTTGTACAGCAAGATAGAGAGATGTGAATAAGGCACTAGGAAGTAATCTTGATTAATGTCAAATCTCAACATGTTCACTGTCTGATCCCTGCTTAGCTAGGCTCATGCGGGGGAGAAGCAAGCTCTGGAAATGGTAGTGATGCTGCTACAGGAGTGTATCTGTGCTGCCAAAGCAGGCCAAAAAAAAAAAAAGACAGGAAACTAAATTAAAAGCTTTTTAATGCAGCAGCTTCCATCCACCTGAAGATCATTTTCTGTGTAGAAAATGAAATTCAACAGGGCACTGGTTTTGCACTGGCCTTAGAAAGGTAAAGTTGCAGACTTTAACCTTAAACCAATTGCATGGAAGCTGAAATAACAGTCATGAAGTGCTTTGCTTGTAAACTTTAGTTCTGAACAGTTTTCCTAAATGGTTTGAATCATTGTATCAAAACACCTTTTACACATATACAGCAAGTCTTCAACTTACGCAGGGGTTACCTTCAGGGATCGTACCTAAAGCCAAAATAGTGTATTGTCAAAACCCATTGAGTGCATTGGTGGATGGGATTGCTGAAGTCTTTTTTTTCTGGATGCCCACCCCCTTTTTGCCCCCTTTTATTATTATTTTTAGAAAAGATTTGCCGAGCATGTAAAGCTGAATGTGCATTAAGTTGTGGGCTTGTTGTACAAGGCTTGCATGCTGAAGAGGTGGCGCTCTTAGATTCTTCTACGCACGAAAGCATTAACTTATCTCCTATGGTTTCCTCCACAGGATAATATCAACATAGATGAAGCTGCTCGGTTCTTGGTAGAAAACATCCTTGCAAATCTCAAAACCTTTCCTAGTGAAGAGAATGATGTCGGGAGACTAAAACTGGAACCGGGTCCTCTGACAGCAGAAAGCAAACCTCAGTGCTGTTAGTTACATCCAATCTTGCAGTGACACACTATGTCAGAGCAGCGAGATTCCTGCTCCTCATGTTGGACTGCTGCTATGGTGCTTCATCACGACAATCCTAATGAGGAATTGTGTTTTGTAGAGTTGATCACACTCCAGGCGTTTACACACTTTTCCCCCTTGTTGGGTAGGACTTCAAATTGCCTTCTACACTATATCATTGTCTGGTTGTGAACCATTTAGCACAGTTGAAAGCTGCCTCCAATACGAAAAGGCAGTATTTATCCTACAAGTCAAGGGTCAGTATGAGTGACTCAATTCCAATATTTATCTTTCACAGTGCAATTTCAGAACTAGAATAGGAACATCTGTCTATGAGTGAAATTGTTCATTTTGATAAATGCTATTATCGTTTGCTTATATCCCCTTTAATGCATACAAAATCCTGTAGCTGCCTCCTTTTGCTTTTCTCATAATGTCTCCTCCATTCATCTTGAGCACCAGGGCCACCAAGCCTTTAGGGACACTTGGCACCCAAGAACACTTCATTTCTGAATAGCACAAGACAGATATTAAGCAATGGTAATCTTAAACTCTATTGCTTGGAAAGTCAGGATAGGAAGATTATGCTGTTTGAAAGGGAGTGATAAGGATAAGTCAGTGCTGTCCCATCTGACCAATGAGTAACAGTCCATTTCTGACTCAGATAATGGAAACAAACATTCCAGTACACTTGCATACATTGCATCTGTGCACAATTAAACTTTTAAGGAAAATCTCCCTTCTTGCACAAGCACAATTTCTGTATGTTCTTATGGTATCTGATGGGTTAAAAATGAATAATGTGCCTGATTAAACTGTCTCAATCATTTTTTAAAATGAAATCAGATTGCAACACAGAACTGTCAACTTCGATCTTTTAACTGATAGGTGTACGCGTAGAGACCTCTTCTTAATCATGCTATATTTATAGTACCTGTATTTTTCCACTTTTACTGTTCTACACAAGGAGTCACACTTGATTCAAGTCTTGCACAAGAACAATTTGCAAATGTGGAATATATTATTGGTTTTATTACTATTGCTATCTGCTAAAGCTGTGTGTGCAAAAATAAGAAGTCTGAAGTATCTGTGCAAAAACTGCCTTTTTCTTATGGTGTGTGTGAAATGGGGTGACTTCTGTAAAATATTTAACGCATTGCATATTACAATCTTAAAACCTGTTAATCCTGTTTTCTGCACCTTACAGCTATATAACATAGCATGCCAGCCACTAGACATCTTGAAGTACTTTTGAAGTATTTCTGAAGGCTTAAACTGGGTCACAAATCTATTTATGTGACCAAAGATGTTTTGATATGATTTAAATACCAGCCAATATTTTTATGATGTAAATGCACAAGCCTAGAGTTTTTAGAAGGTATGTTCAGGCACTTTGTCAAGAATCCAAAGAGAGCATCTCATGTTCCTAGACTTCTGTTCTAGGCTTGCACTAATTTTGTTTAATTCCACAAAAGTCAAAGCCCCTTTTAATCCCGAATCCCCTAACCGTTGTGGTTTTCATTTAGTTTTCTAAAATAAATAAAAACATTTGGAATAGATTTTAATACACATCAAGTGCAATCTCTAAATATGAGCTTGAGTAACTCATTCTGTTTTTTAAAAATCAAAATACGCTTCCTAATGGTAAATGTAATGGTAAAGCATCCTATAGTCACCTTCTGCACCCCAAACTTGCTGCATTGGATGTGGAGGGTGTGGGTAACTGTGTTTACATTAACAGATGTGTGCAAATGAACATGTTTATAAAACCTCATTGGAGATGCGGTCTGCTAGCCTCCAGCACTTCGGAGTAGGGCAACAGACAAGAGACATTCTTTGGGGGCTCGTTTTTGCCAGGCTTTCAGTGTTCTGCTTAACATGGCAGTCCTTTGAGCAGAAGTAATCTCTGCTTGTAAGGAAACAATCTTATGCACAGGTCAGCAAGATGGATAACATCACACTACTTGTTGATACTTGTCCAATGCGATATCAATTTACAAGAAGAAGAAGAAAAGGTTTTGTATACTTACCGTGAGCTCATGCTGTCCTTGAGAAAGCATTGCACCACTTTTTCTTAAGAAGGAACTCTCACTTCTGCAGCTTTTTAATTAAACAGTTTAGTTAAATCTTATCTTTCCAGTTACACGTTTTTGAATATTTCTTCCCAAAATCTAAGGGAGAAGTTTACATTTTATTTTGACAGTGGGTGTTTAGAGCTCTGATATCAGCAAGCTGCTCTGATCACTTACAGAATTCTTAGAACATTCAAAAGTGAAACTTCATTGCAGCATATAAAATAGGCCGAATACATATCACATGATTTATCCTATGTAATGGTAAAGCATCCTGTAGCCACTAGAAATGTACCAAAGGTGGGGAAAGAGACATCTGCTAGCTTGGTGATAGTAGCAAGGCATTAATTCATGCTTACCAAATATTTATTGGTGTGCCTATTTAACTATTCAAAGCACATTACTGTTGATAGGGGGGTCTTCCATGGATATTGTATTGTTCTAAATGGGAGCAAAGCACTTGCATAATGGGGCATGGTGGTGCATTTTGGCATAGGGGCCATAGAGTACTCAGTGTTGCACCTCAGTCTATCTGTATAGTACAGAATGTGGTATTAGCTGTAGAACTTAGCTTAATTTAAGAAAACAAACGAACCTTTTGTGCCTCTTAAACTAGCTTCAAGCATGTAGGCAATGCTTGGTGGAGCTCAAAAGCCAGAGGCAGTATTATATGTAATCTCTAGTTTGGGGGGGGAAGGGAAGCATTAGTGCCTTCCATTCTCTGTGAGTAGCAGAAAGAATGTTGTAAAGTAAGTTGTTGATAGCTCCACCTCCTTTCTATATCTTTTAACCTTAGCAGCATAATGGTATAACTTGACTTCCATGCATGGCTCTTGAGAAGTCACTATTGTCCAGAGAAGACAAGTCCAACAGCAGTGACCCCCTTTCTCCCTTTGAAGTTCATTCAACTCCTGTCTTATAATTGTCACTCTTAAATTTGAAGGGTAAATGAAATGTGGTTTATTCCCTGGCTTAGTTTCGTGTTTTTCTCAAACTGCACAGTGACCTTACTGCTCCCTGATGAGCGACTGAAGGGCTAATGACTCCCACTGTAGAATATTTAGTTAAAATCCCTACACTATAAGGGCTGGGAAAGATCTCTGCTATGTGCTTGGACAGCTGCTGCCAGTCAGAGTAAACAGTACTAGGCAAAATGGAATGATGGTCCTGGTGTGTGAAGCCTTTATATTTGTATTTCTAAGCTAATATTCTCCCTTAACAGCCTTGTCATGAGGTTAATTTTGACATGATTGCCAGGGCTAATGATAGTTACAGTCCCATGACACCAGAAGGGCCAGGATGGAGTAGGCTGGCCTAATTCGAGGGTTTTCTGAATGATGGACAAGAACCATGTTCTGGCTCCCCCCACCCCTTTATTTTGCTGTGGTGTGTCCTCTAGTTGAGATGAAGGATTCTGTAACACTATACATGTGTGTACATGTACAATCACTGTTGTTTTTCATACGTCTATGTTGTCCACTAGCTCTCCAGGATTAAGAACAATTTCTTCTCTTGGAATAATTTTTCTTCCTGAGAACTAGTTGTCTCAACTTGCTTCTGTGTCCTTTTCTTTGTTCCTAATTTACTTGCTCCCACATAAACAATCCGCCTTAAGTTTTTAACCATACTTGGGGATGGTCAAAAGTTAGTTATGAAACTTTGGCCTTCCCCAATCTTGAGTCTCCAAATATTGTTGGACTACAGCTGCCATCATCATTCCTGACCATTGGCCTGCTGGCTAAGGATGATTGGAAATTGTAGTCCAAAAATATCTGGTAACCCAAAATTGGGGAAGGCTCACCTAAAGGATCCTTGCCACAATAAAGCTTGAGACGTATTGTATATATGAGATGAATAAACTGAGCCAGCAGGTGTAAAATGAATGCTTAGGCTATATATCCAAACTGCTTGCTCACAGTATATAACCCATGACATACTGGCAACAGTTGGTGTCCTTGCATCATCCTAGTTGTTAACCCTGTTTGGGACTCTTGACTGCTTCTGTATTTTTGGCTCCTGGTTGGAAGTGGCTCTTTAAAACCATACAAGTTCTAAAATATTTCCCACATTAAGGGCATAATCTGCTGCCTAAGAGTTATATAAAAGGTAAAGGTACCCCTGCCCGTACGGGCCAGTCTTGACAGACTCTAGGGTTGTGCGCCCATCTCACTCTATAGGCCGAGGGCCAGCACTGTCCGGAGACACTTCCGGGTCACGTGGCCAGCGTGACAAAGCTGCATCTGGCGAGCCAGCGCAGCACACGGAACGCCGTTTACCTTCCCGCCAGTAAGCGGTCCCTATTTATCTACTTGCACTTTGACGTGCTTTCGAACTGCTAGGTTGGCAGGCGCTGGGACCGAGCAGCGGGAGCGCACCCCGCCACGGGGATTCGAACCGCCGACCTTTCGATCGGCAAGCCCTAGGCGCTGAGGCTTTTACCCACAGCGCCACCTGCGTCCCTAAGAGTTATATAGTGCACTCCAATTCTCATTGTTCAGTTTAGCTGTTTTCTTGCTTAGCATAAGTGCATAGGTGCATGAGCAGGTAATGAGACAAGGCTGTTTGGGGAATGTGTAGCCTGCATATTCCTTCCACATCCAGCCTGTGCCACCCTCTGCATCAACACTAACTAGGAAGATGGGTCTCCACTGAACCCTTTTGGAATCCAACATGTGTTGCCTGTGTCTATTTAGGCACTAGAATATGTACTATATATTTCTAAATATTTTTGGAAGAAAATATATGTTGATAGTTTTTCTACTTTGTACACCAAGTTTTTAATACGAAATCCAATTGTTTGTGTGTGTAAAAGCAAAAGCAATTGTCTACTTTGATTTTCTCCAATACAGTGCTCAGGATCTGTTCTCTGTTCTCATCCTTGCTTTTTTGACACTATTTTTGTTTTCTAAAACTTTAAAGTGCTCTTTATATTTTGTATAAATAAAATTTGTAGTCAATACATTGTGTTTCTCTTCTCTTCAGTGGGAGTCAGTCAAGAATTATTCCATGTGGGTTAAGTACTGTACTGGGAGATGATGTTTTGGTAGAAACAGAGTGTGGATTAACAAACGTCCCAAGTAACTGAGTAATTCATTTCCCCAGAAGATCCATTATTTCCTTAAGTTCTAGGAGGCTTCATGAGCTTTCGTTGGACAGGTTTTAGAAGATGCAATGATCTGTACATTCCCCGCCCACCCCGTAACTGCAACTGATACTGTAAAAAAGAACCCCAAGCAAGTCAAACAGTTCACAGGAATGAGTCAGACCCAAATCTCACCAGTCTTAATAAGAGAACTGGATAGGCTGCAGCTCTCTGTTGTGTACATTCAAGACTGGTCCACATATGTAGCAGAACAAAGCTGTACTACAGGGGACTGTGTATTTCAGACTTGTTTCACTTTTTCCCAACACTGCTCTGTTAAACCTCTCTGCAAACAGAAAGCCAATGCAGTTGGACAAAAAACTTTCTCTCCGATGCATTGTCTTCTGCTTGCAGGATTTTTTTAAAAGCAAGTACTCAAAAGTGACACCACTCACTTCTTGTCTGAAGTGGTGCATTCCATTCTGCTGTATGTATAGACCAGTCCTTCAGACGTAGTCCAGCTGGAGGGCCACAGGACCCCCAATCCTTGCAAATCTGAGTTACTTGAAAATCTGTTGCATTTTAATGCCAAACTCCTTCCCCTGTGATGTTTTCTTTCCCTTATCTTGTTTCCAAGATCTATTTTGCTTTTACTCCTGTTTCCTTGAGTGTGTGCCTCACTGCTTGTACTGAGCACAACAGTTGATCTGGTAAGGTACTCCCAGGGCAGGCCCAAGACATTTTGGCACCTGATGCAAACTGCAAAGCGGTGCTCCTTCCCTGCCAGGAAAGAAGAGGTGAGTGAAGAGCTACATCAAGAATAAGGGTGGGGAATAAAAATCTACCTAGGGATCTGCTGACCTGCAGATCCTGCTACCTGAGGTGGTCACCTCACCTTGCCTCATGGGTGGACCAGCTCTGGGTACTCCAGTATCATTATTCTGTACTGTAGGTCATAAATTTAAGAGTGGCTTCTGACACCCTTGTAAAAGGTAAAGGTACCCCTGACAGTTAAGTCCAGTCGCAAACGACTTGGGGGTTGCGGCGCTCATCTCGCTTTACAGGCCAAGGGAGCTGGCGTTTGTCCGCTTCTGTAGACAGTTTTTCTGGGTGATGTGGCCAACATGACTAAGCCGCTTCTGGCGAAGCCAGAGCAGCGCATGGAAACGCCGTTTACCTTCCTGCCAGAGTGGTACCTACTTATCTACTTGCACTTGGATGTGCTTTGGAACTACTAGGTTGGCAGGAGCTGGGACCGAGCAACGGGAGCTCACCCCGTCTCGGGGATTCGAACCACTGACTTTCCGATCGGCGTCCCCTTGTAATGTAGTTGACTAATATTGCCACATTAATGATAGAAAGACATCACAACTATTCCGTCTCGAGATCTTCTACTTCTCAGATTAGGCTAATGTTAGCAGATAAAATACTTGCTTTCAGTAACTCCTCTGGACAAATAACTGCCTCCAGCAGAAAAGATGTACACCGTTGGGTTTTTCAAATTGTTTTATTTCTCGGACATTATATATGTTTAAGTTGAACTCCGCCCCGCCACCTAAATAAACAAACATTAATGCAGATTTGAAGAGCCGTCCCCTTCTCACTCTTTGTATTTATGAAGATATTCAACATGTTATCAAGATATGGACAGGCAGCGGAAGAACGATTTACGCAAGATGATATACAGATACTTGATTTTGTTCAGTTTGCAATTCAATTGTATCTAAATTCCCTGAAAACACACAGCCACACCATCCTCTCTGCGCTCGGCTGCGCGTGAACCCCTTGCGCCTCCGGCTTTGTTCACTCGTCGTGCTTTTCGCCCAACAGCGTAAAAACACAAACGATAAATAAAAACAGGAACTCAGAAGGCGCGTGTTATTATCTCTATGAACTCAGGGAGGCGTCCGTCTACCCGGCGGCAGCTCTATGGTAAAGAACATTCCCTATCTATTGCGCTTTGGAGGGAAGGTTGCGGACCGGAAGTGGGCACTGATGATTGCGAGGCTGGTGTGGGCGACTCAAACTTTCCGTGCTTTTTATTGTGCCGGAAGTACGGGATGCGTGTCACTCTATACCCGTTTCTATCTCTGCGGCTGAGTCGGCGTCTCTTAGCAACGAAATGGACGCCGACGCGGCCGACGCCTGAGGGAGGCGAGCTATTGCGGCGGCGCTGAAGCTCGTCTAAGGGAGCCTGGCATGTCGAAGTTAAGCAAAAAGAAGGAGCCGGTGAAGAGCAACAACGTTCTCCAGACGCCCTTCCCCGCTAAAGAGTAAGGCTCCAAATACCCTCCGCTTCTCAGGCGGCCCCCGTTCCTTGCGGGTTGCGCACAACTCGCCGCCTCTTTCAATGCATTTCTGTTTCTAAGGTTAAGGACTCGCTCCTGGAAGATGTGAAGCGATAATAGCGGGGAAGAGTGTTTCTGGGCGCGTGCAGAGTGCACTATCCTTGCCAAAGCAGTGTCTGGGGTCTAGGGAAAGGTTGAGTGTATGATGATCAATTTTTTTTTCTTCCCAGCTGCAGTTTAGCTATATCTAGCCATCAGCTACTCAAGTAAGTCTTGCCTGTGCTAAATGTTCTTGATTCTTGTTTCTAGGCCACATGCCGTATCCGCCACGTGTACTTTGCGGCAGTCGGTGGCCTTGTTTTGATGCTTGAGGAACTGCAGCACCTGGGATTGGCTGGGACTCAAAACCTTAAATGATTCTGCGTAGATTGCTCATTTATTATCTCTCCCTTCCTTCAAGAAACTTGGGAAGGAGCTCATCGTGTGACATACACACTTCCCTTTCCCAGTCCTTAACAATAGGTACAGGAATCGGCCTTGGTGAGTGTGACGGCTGAGCAGAGACTGAAGCTGGGTCTTTCCTCTGCAACCATCCTTCCACTTTCTACTTTTCCTTAAAAAAATAGGTACTGTATCTTAGAAGTGTCAGATATTTTCCTTGTCTGGAATATGCAGACTTGCTATAGAAGTGTTGCTGTGCACCCAGAAAATGTAGTCTGGGTGGAATCCAACACAGGCAGGTTAGAGGCAGCGAGAGCAGTAGGGGTCAGGTAGAGTCAGCCACACTTAAAAGCAGTAACTGTGTTTCCTTGCTTGCACAGATGTATGTTAAGGGCAGCATATAAAGTAGGAAGGAGAGGCTCCTAACTTCAATGAAATTGACTGGCAGTAGGCTCGGGACAGATGAAAGGAAGGACTATTTCACTCAAAACATTATTAACTTGCAGAATGTATTACCACAGAATGCAGTGATGATTGCTAGCATTGGAAGCTTTTTTATTACTAAAAATCATGGAGGATATGTTTATCAGTGGCTATTAGCTTTAATAGCTAAGGGCATCCTCCATGTTTGAGGAAAGTATATCTTTGAATATTGGACACTGATGAATTATAAACAACAGGGAAGAGCTATTGCTTATACCCTCTGCTTGTGGATTCCAGGAAGTATTTGGTTGATGAACCTTTTGTTTAATGCAGCAGGGCTTTTTATGATTTCAGAACACTAGGGGATACATTTTGGGAAGATAAGGTTAACTGCACCTCTCTGTGTCTGCTGCATGTTTGCAAATAGGCTTTCCTCTTCACATGTTATGTGCACCCTGTTGGTACACAGTAAGCATACCTGCCGCAGTTAAGAGTGAATTCATACAAAATATGGAAGAACTGTCATCAGTTAATGGTGTTAAATGAGTGCTATTGAGATTCTGGGTACAGTACCAAATTGCTGGGCATTGTACTGTCTCTTTGGTTTAGTAAGCCTTGGATTTTCTTTGTCTTCAGTGATGTCTGTTTGCCTCTCTCACCACCACTCCCCCTAATCAACTAAAAGAGGAGATGCCACATCAGTCTCCAGGAACTTCTGAATGAGCATATCAAGCCGTTTCAGCTGTTTCCTGGTAACTGGGAATTAAATAAGTTACTATATCAGAAAGCTCTCATACTTTTCTTGAGCCTTGAATACTAACGTCTTCCGATGCAGAAAGAAAGGAGTATAAGACTGCTTGTGTGGCCAGAATACATGTCATGCCTACCTGAGAACTAACCATATTTACTGTTTTTTGGAAGGGCTGGAACAGAATTTCAACAGAAGTTGGCTAAACCAGTAGCTGATTGGTAATAATAGTTGTGCAGGGTCATGCTAAAGAGCCATCAATTCTAGCACTGTCAATTTGATGGTGGCTAGCCACATGCCCCAGCACAAGATAATGACAGGTATTCTCAGCAGCTGAGAAGTGTCAAATACACTTACAGCCATCATGGTTAGTGGCCACTGATAAGCAAGTCTTTGGGGTATTTATCCACTTTTATCCAATACATTTATTTACTAATACAGTGGACGTTTGGGTTGTGAACGTGATCTGTGCGGGAGGCACATTCGCAACCCGCAGCACCACATCTGCGCATGCGCGGGTTGCGATTTGGTGCTTCTGCGCATGCACGAGCGCTGAAACCCAGAAGTAACCCATTCTGGTACTCCTGGGTTTCGGCTCGTCTGTATCCCAAAAACGTGCAACCTGAAGCGTCTGTAACCCGAGGTATGACTTTATAGCATAAAGAGGCCTCACCTATTCCTCTTGAAAAGGGTACACAGGGGAAACCTGGGGATGAACAGGAAATAAAATGTAGTACCAAATATAATATAATTGTCTGCTTTCCAATTTTATTTTAAAAAGTAGAGCACACCCCACAGCTGGGCTCTATGTCCTGGGTCCCTTAAAAGTTCAGCAGGCAGAAGTTTCCAAGCTCAGTTTCTTTGCTATAGATGGATTGTTTTGCTGTCTTGTCTAATATGAAAGTGGGGAAGAAACCCTTAAACAAATAACCTAATGACAACAACAACCAATCCTGACATTGTTCTGCAGATTGACCTTAGTCAAGTCACTGCTTATATATCCCAAAGGATATATATATATGAAGTCTTTTACGAAGCTGTACTCGAAATAGTGTCAGGTCAGAGCAGCATATCTCTCTTCTACTTTGACAAACCACCAGCTAAGCCTTCTGGCCCCAGCTGTCAGGAAATATTTAAGTTTAGTTACTGCTGAACTGTAGATAGTATTTAAATCAAGAGGTTGATGGCAGCTTGTTGTCGTCTATTAAGTGACATTCTTAACTACAGTATAAAATTTTCAAAGAGGTCAGTTTCTTTCTCCTAGCTTGTTGGCATACGTCTGTATGCATAATATTGAATATTTAAGTATGTATGTTAAAAATAAAGCACCTGGAAAGTATTAGGAAGCCTTCCTGCTTTTTAGAATTGGACTAATGAACATGCTTTTCCATAAGTCTGAAAAGCCCCAAATGCTGTAACCTTCCCTCTTAGAGATGTGGTTCCAGCCCTATGAACATTTGGTTGCCCTTTTCCACACATTTTCCAGCACAACAGTATGTCTTTTTGAAGTAAATAAAGACACAAACTGTTATCTAAGGAGCTGTCACTATTCAACATAATAAGAGGAAATGAATTACCACCACCCTACAGACTATTACACAATGGGAAAATATTGGAAAATCTGCTTGTCTGCTATCTTGCACTTCACCTGCTTTGTTAATTTCTCTTGATGTTTGCCTTAGAGGTACAATAATGAAGACATGTTGAAGAAAGTAATTACTATGGTCTTTATAGACATTTTATGGAAAAAAAATTTTATAGTAGATACTTAGAAACTAGTCTGAATTCAACGAGTAAAATTCAATTGTTGGTACATTTGGGTTATTTTTTAGTTTTATTTTTTATTAGTCACTTGCTACCAAGGTCTCCAAGGGACTTACATTTAGGAACATAAACATAAATACATTATACTGTTAAAAATCATATAAAACATTAGCATTCTCATACATTCTCCATACCTTCTCATGCAGACACCTTCAATTAATGCACCCTCCCATCCCCTGGGTAACATCTGCAGGAAACTTTAGCAGCACACTAGCAGCAGAACAAAACCAGCTCAGCTTTGGAAAAAGTCTTCACCTAGCACCAAAAATATGTCATGTAGACCTCACTGGGAAAAGTATTCCACAGATGTGGAACCACAACTGAAATGGATATTAAGGTTCCATTGACAGCTCCTCAAAGGGTGAGGTGGTAGGAATGTAACAGCAGTGCAAGATCAAAGTTTACTTCTCTGTGCAGGTGCAGACATTTAGTCGCAGCCCCAGTGAACATTTATATTATGTAAAGGATTCATTTGAGCTTGGTGAAGGGGTGATGTGCACTGTTTGTCAATAAGGCACCCTTGATTATCAGACTGGCACAACGCTGAACAAACAATCTCACTTTGAATGTCAAACAGCTCAGAGGTGCATGGCTCTTCAATTAGATGCTACTACTAGTAGAGTTTTCACTATTTCCCTGCCAACTGGCTAGTAGGCTTGGACAATAATGTCCCCCTCATTATTTGGGGTCATTTGTCTCCACAAAAGTTGCAGGCATTTTTTTAAGACTAGAGGGGGAGCAGTGTGTGTTTCAGGTGGGTTTCCTGATTGTAGAGCATTGTGATTTGTCTTATTGAAACAAAACAAAAAAACAACTTGCTGCTACTTCAAGTAGTGGCAGAGCTACAATAAGCAGCAACCAACAGCGTTCTTCCTTGTGAATGACCAATGGGAATTGCATTTCATCATAGCATCTTTCCCAGGGTCATTCTAGGGAAAATAAAGATTTTTAAAGAAATGCTGTTCCCATTACTACAAGACTCTTGTTTTGGTTGTAGAAATGATAATTGTTTATACTTTTTCTGAGGGACTGTGAGCTGTGTCAGTCATAAGGCACGTATAATAAGCTGCTCAAATGATGTATTTCTTATCTCTTCATTTTATTTGTAGTGATAGTACTTGCATGGGGTTCAAAATGAAGATATTGTGCTTGCCAACAGTATGAAACTGAAATTAGAATAAGAAAATTTGAAAGTTGATTACCATGTAACTAACAGCAAGTTCTCTTCTCGTGCTCACGTTTTATTTCAGCCTTTGGGGTATTACTGGATCAGTCTCTAGTGTAAACCCTCAAGGTCCTTTGGGTGAGTCTAGGAAACCAAGATTTCCGATCTGGCCAGAATGGAATGAAGCAGATATCAATATAGAGAAGTGGGATGCAGGAAAAGGTGCAAAGGAAAAAGATAAAGCTGGAAGAAGTCCTATTTTAGTAAGTTTTCTGTAGTAATCAGAAAAGTTCCTTCAGATTCATCAGTATTTGAAAATATGTATTAACACTGTATCTTCTTAAGCACACCTTTTAAAGATTCATCATTGAATGAGTGCTCACCATTCTAGTAACACAATGAGGCTTTTCATTAAACTAATATTAAAGTTAAAAGTTCTTAGCTGTTTCTGAATCATACCTTAGCTCAAGCATTGCCAACTAGTGGTCACATTTTGCATTTTAAGAGAGCGATGTGGGCACCAGTCATAACACAGCTGCTGGTGGAAGCCAGCAAAAAGACTACCTTAGTGGGTGTCTCAGCACCCTCTCCTCCCTCTGTGTGCCCTCACGCCTCCCCTGAAACCACCAGGAGAGCTCCCAGAGGATGTAGAGGAAGGGGAGCACTTCACTGATAGAAGGACCTTGTTAGCACCTTCTGATCAGGATTGTGCAAAGTTACCTCTCTGCTGGTATCTTTCACTAAGAAGAATCTGCCTGCTGGGGAGGCTACATTATGGTGATGGTCCCAACTTTGCCTAGGTGGGCAGACAGCTGCTGCTGGAGGTTTTCCCACCAGCAGTAGAAGGAGAAAGTCTGTAAATGAGGCATTTCTGAGTGGGATCACCAGTAGCTTTGGATATGCTGATAGGGTCCAGCCAAAGTTAAGCACTTTTTGGTTGAACTGCTCAGATGTGTGTACATCTGTGTTATAACCTATATTAAAATCAGTAAGATTTAAAAGTTGAGCTCCTCAATTTTTGGCTGACCAAAAGCAACAACACACATTGTTGCTTTCCTTATATGGTTGTTGTTATGCTATCTATAAAAATTCAGAATTAAAAATAATTGATAGTTTCCATTTCATACAAGTGTTCTTTTATTTCTCTCAGTTGTTTAAGCTTTAGTTTTTGATCACTATTAGAATATTAGATATGCTACTGAAAAAAGACTTGCAAGTGAAAAGTTTGCAACTTGTCTTTGAATTGTGTGTAATTCAATCTCTTCAGGATAAGCATATAATTGTTTGATATGTATAGTAAATGAATGCTTTTTACAGCATGTCTTTGAAGATCCAGAAGGAAAAATTGAATTGCCCCCTTCTTTAAAAGTGAGTTTCTGGAGAAGGCCACAAGAATTCTTAGTCACTAAGGTGAGAAGATGTTTCTTATTTGATGTTTATTTTATACAGCAGAGTTCCTAACCCTGCACCCATTAGTACCAGATTAAGACTAAGAAAGAAAGAAAGAAAGAAGTGTCCCCCTTCCTAGAAAGACAGTTATGAAGCAAAATATGCAGATAATCAATTTCTGTGAAAAGAGCCAGCCTGGCTCTCTTGCCTGTCAATATTTTTAGCCAATGAGTGAAGTCAGAGGTGTGATTGATAAGTGAGTTGTTTGGACACCAGACAGCATGAATCCATTGAGTCCTACAGAGTTTCTGTTTTCTCCTGCCCTTTAGTGCACTTTTCCAGTTTGTGTTGTTCTTTTTTTAGCTGCTCTGTTTATTTTGTTTTTCTGCCTGCCAGCCACATGGAGCAGGGGCTACTTGAAAGGCTCTTTTAAAATGTCTCTGTTGTGGTAGTAGAAAGAATGTGGGAATTGCCTGTCAGTCATTTTGCTGCCTGCAAAGTTGTAGTGGTGGGGGTTGGGGGGTGCCCATTTCAGAGTCATCATTATGATCATCACCATTTGTTCCTGCCTGTTCCCAAGTTGTTTGAGTAGGGGAGAGCATAGTGCAATGGTAGAAACATAATTACAATCATATCCTCATACACCTCTAATTTTGAGACGCTTGTAGATGACTTTCCTCCTCAAACTTTGTCCAATCTGGGCCAGTATTATTTAACTACCCACCTGTTACCTATATTCAAAGGTTTTGCAGGTGTTTGCCATCAAAACTTGCCTGACCAGTGTATAACAGTGGGGGGACATGTATGCCATCGGAAACAATGGGAAACAATGCCACTATCACACTATTGTATGTTATCCACTGATTATTTCACTAATGTCCAAACTCAGTTCAACAACAGTTCACCAGTCTTTTACAGAATTTAAATTACCTTTCTTAACTTTTGATTAACATTTTGTAGGCAGGTATAAGTTATTTCAAGATTTTGAACGTTTATAAGCGTTCATAAACATTTTAATAAAATAATCACAATTATCTTTTTAGGTGCCTGTGGTAGTGAAAAATGAAACATGGTTTGACCTTTTTTCAGCCAATGAACATATAATGGGCAGTGAGGTATGTGTATGATCTCTTCTTAATTAAGAAAGCATATTAATTCTGTAGATGAATGGAGGAGACTTTTGATGTTATCATAAAACAGGTAAAATGCCTTTGATCGGGCTGGCATGGCTCTATCATGCTGCAAGGCGAAGTGACCTGTTGCAGGTGATGCCACAAGAAGGAGGGTTAAATGAAGGGAAGAATGAGCGCACTTACATTTTCAAAATGGTATAAGCTACCTTGAGCTACTTTAAAATTCAAAATGAGTTAAAAAAATCAGCTTGGGGGTAGAGTCCCAGCTGCTGAAGGGGTAGCTTATATGAAAAAATATATGATAACACATGGATTAAGAACAATTTTCATCCATTTTAACAAGGGGTTTGGTGTTATAGGGGAGCTACTGAAAGGGAAAAGTGGGGGATCCAGGTGAATTTAAGCATGTTGGGGTCTCATTGATGTCATTGGCCTTAAGGATACGTACATTTGGATTGCACCTTACAACAATAAGGAGTATGTTACCCTAAACCCAGTAAGGCTTGCTTCTGAGTAGATAAGAATAGACTTGAACTGTTAATTAAGAAAGGGCTACATACTAGAATACCTTAGGCTTTGGTTAAAATTAACTAATCTGTTACCAGGATGGATATCAAGTTCTTGGCCTCAGTCTAGAGACTGGATGCTGTTCACCCCCAACAACATACAGGATCTTCCACTTTGTCCCCATGCACATATGATCCATGCTGTCAGAGCTGCTGCTGGTGAACAACTGTGTGGTGACAGGAGAGGAAAGGAGTCGTCTATTCTCCCAGATGACAGGGTTCTGCTCCTTTTCCCTAACAAAATTCTTTTGCAAATGTATGGCCACATTTGGTTCCAGATCATGCTTGCTACTTTAGGGTGTCTTTGTTTCAGATTATTTAATACTGACACACCACCGGCTGTGTGTGATCCAGGAAGAGATCCCTCAATAAATTCATCTGGAAAAGTGTTCCCTGCTTTATTTTGATTTTTCTTCTGTTGCATTGATTGCCTACTTTTATAAAGGCCTGGTGATTTATAAATAAAGTACTCTCTGCACCTTTTAATATGTCTTTCTGTCTCCCATACCCTTCTCTCTCATGTCATATTGGTGCTTAGATTCTGCTGTGTTGAGCACAGACTTCTTTTTTAATGTTCTCTATGCAGCGCTTGCTTTATTAGCTTCTATACAATTAAATGGTGTTGTTATCATTATGTATTTCATTTTAAAGTAGAGTTAGGCTATATATGTATATATGTATGTATTGTGAACAAAACTGACTTCTATTATTTCCTCCACCACCCAAAAAAAACCCTGACTTCAGCTGATAAGATGGATAATAAGTGAAATCTATGCAGTCTGGAAATTGTATAATACACCTGCTTTAAGTCCTGATCCTAAAGCTAATGCAAATGAAGCACCTCAGCTTTTGTGGAAGCCATGGGAACATATATATTCATTATGTAAAGCTATCAAGGGACATATGCCATTGTACAATAGCTATGGAAAATATGTGGTAAAGCTTTATTGGATGGTAAGTATGCATCAATCTTTGTATGCACATCATTTATTTTACACAGGTTGCAGTCCTGTTGTGGGGAGGGGTGGTTGAAGGCTGAAAGCCTTTGAACGGCCTCATCCAAAGGCTTAATTATCTTTCGCTGGAAGGGTGGAAGTGAGGTTCTTGCACTCTTATGTCCTTCTCCAGTTTATTATTTTATTTTACAGTTTTCCTTTCATTAGTAGCAACAGCTCCAAAACTGGCATGGTTTTCTTCTTGGTTTGTAGGGGTGGGTGTGCCAGAGAATTGGACAGGCTAAGAATCCTTTGAATCAGTGCCTTCCCCCAGCACACACCCCTTTCATTCCTTTCCACACAGAGGCTGTGGACACTTCTGCAATGACAGGGAGGGGCCATATAGGGTTGGATCTTTCTATGTCTCCCTCAGATCTGACATGGTCTGCAGAAAGGGAAATCCAGTGCTTCCTATAGCCTTGGGTTGGGGAAGCTACAACTCTCCAGGTGTTACTGGACTGCAACTCCCATCAGCCTCAGCCGGCATTGCCAATGATTTTAATAAATGAATGACAAATATTGAACCAAAATACTGACCAGTATGTGATGCATGAATATAAAGAGATAGCACAGGCTGAAACAAATTTCTATCTCTTCAGCAAGAAATTATACATTTTAAAATTTAAGCTGTGCCCACAAGCTATTCTAAACCCAACATTAAAGCATATAAATTATAGTAACATTTGAAATAACTAAACCCTTTGATGTTAAGGAGAAACCACACTTAGGTGAATGTAGATTCAGGCCGATACAATCCATGTATTGAAAAGGAGTGCAATCCCATATGTGAGATGTCCTATATATACAACAAGGAGGAAATAATTCTCCCTTGTTCCAGATGCTTTGGAAAGTTCCAGAAAAGTGGATTCCTAATATATTGCTATGGAAGCATAGCAAGCCATTCCCAAAGTACCAGAACATTCCAATAACATTCTCCCTCAATGGTTGTTCAGTGGCATCTGAGTAGCACACTTTGTCCCACCCCATATTTCCACTTCATATGAGTAATAACGATAGATGACAAACTGCTTTTATCATTATGCTTTTATAAGATGATAACGTTCCAACTAATCCTTTTAGTTCTGAGAGGATAGTTTTGCATTGGTGAAAACCACGAGAGCTGACAACTGAGGAATAGCTCATCAGTACCCTGCAAACAATTTCGAAAGTACTAGCTGTGCTGCTTTCCATTGTGCAGACGGAATCTACTGGACTTTCATATTTGCTCTCCCTATTTATTAAAATTATCTATAATGAGGGTCAAGTTCTTGGAAGGTCACACAGATTTTCATGCTGACACAATTTTTCATTGCCACCTAATCACATTTAATTTCCTTTCTCTTTTGCAGGGGAGCTGGCGAAAGATCATTGTGGATGACAGCATACCTTTCAATGAAGACAATGATATGCTGCTTCCAGTAACAACATGTGAAATTGAACTTTGGCCATTGATATTATCCAAAGCCATAATTAAACTAGCAAACAATGAGTATGTTTTCTAAGCTTTGTGTCTGTTTTGAGATGAAAATAGAGCGATGGGCAGCAAAGCTAGAATTTAATACATAGGGTGGATGCTTGTTTGTTAAGAATGAATGAATTGATAGGGGTGCTTTTTGAACCCTATAAAATATAGTAAACAAAGGAAGATCCTCAGCTGCAGCCAAAGTCAGTGGGTATGTTAACACATAATATACCAAGCCATAGTTTAATGCTACATGGATGAAATGTCTGACTGCAGCATTAGCTTACATCCTCCCTGCTTTACTCCTCTTGCACATCTGGCAGGAGGACTTTGGCAGAGTTTAGTCCTACTTTTAAAGAATCCCAGCTTATTGTTAAACCAAGAACATTGGTTTGAAACCAACTGGTTAGTTTTAAGAACTGAGCTTTGTAACCCATGGTTTGAAATTGTTTTCTTCTGAAACTTAACCAGAGTTTGTTTTAAACAGGAACTCTGGTTTGAACATAATGCTAAACTGGGATTCTTTGAAAGTTAAACTTGGCTCTTTCCAGCTGTACAGGAGAAGGAGAGAATGCAGTGCAGTAGCTTAGACCTTTTACTCAGACTTGTTCAGGCTCATCCACATAGCAATAAGCCATGGTTTAATGTCACATGTAAATGCAACTGGATTATATTTACATTGATGAACAAACACTTTCATTTCAATCCCACAGAGGCCCAGGGTGTCCTTGATTTTCCCTTCCCTCTGCTGCAATCTCCTGTACCCCACTGAACACCTTCAACTTTCACATGAAGCTTTTTGAAGTAGACATGAAGTTGTAGTAGGAAGAATGAAGTGGGGAAGCCCTATTCCATTTTTGGAACTCATTTTGCAGTTGTAGATTCTAAGGCTCTGTTTTGTTAAGGAGGTATTTATATTGTACCCTTCAGCCAAAAAGGCTGCCAAAAGGACTTTTTAAAAAATCAACTTTAAGATGGTCCCTGCCCTTAGGTTTATGATCTAAAAAGATGACACATGTGGAAAAAGGAGTGGTTGGGGAGCGAGGTGGAGTGGGAAAGCATACTGGAGCTCAGTTTGTAACAATTCAGTTCTTAACAAAAAAAATTCCTTCCAGTAGCACCTTAAAGACCAACTAAGTTAGTTCTTGGTATGAGCTTTCGTGTGCATGCACACTTCTTCAGATACACTTCTTCAGATACTGTGTATCTGAAGAAGTGTGCATGCACACGAAAGCTCATACCAAGAACTAACTTAGTTGGTCTTTAAGGTGCTACTGGAAGGAATTTTTTTTGTTTTGACTATGGCAGACCAACACGGCTACCTATCTGTAACTGGAATTCAGTTCTTATAACTGTTATAAGATTCTGTTTGTGTAGAAGAGCAGCATCTACTCACAGGTGTCAGAGGCAGTTATGGCCAGGGCTTTCTTCACCAGAAGCACTCTTCTCTTCCAGTCCAGGAGCAGGACTGCTGAACAATATGCAGGACAGAGCAGCTTCTGCCACCGTTCTTCCCTAAGGCAGCTGCCGTAACTGACTTGGTGGCAGTTAGAATCCTCTCGGGAGGGGGCTTGATGGAATTATTTCCCTCTTCAGCCAATGTCTGTGGCAGATGGGAGCTATAGACCTGGTTTCTCCCAAGGCCCAGGGCCACCCAAACAAGGAAATGCTAGGGAAGTTTGGGGTGGGGGGGAAGATTCAGGGTTTTAGGAGGGTATATGTTATAGAGCTCACTGCATTGTAGATCATGAAATGTGTTGGCAGTTGAAAAGCTAACACAACAATTAACAAAGTACTTTTGCATTGCCACCCTACATATTGGTCTGTTTGACCAATAATTCTATAACTTTGTGTCTAGCAGTTTCAGTTGCACAGCTTTGGAACAAATATAATGAAAAAATTAAAGAAACGTAGATGTTATAGCAGCAGAATTCCACCTCCATTGTGAGAGGGCAGTATTCCTCTGAATTCCAGTGTGCTTCCCACATGTTTCTGAATGGCTACTGAGAACAAGATGATGGATTAGATGTGCCATTGACCTGAACCAGCAGGCTCTCTTTGTGTTCATACGTTAAAATTTTACTGAGAAGATGTAGAATGGCTATTTTAAATAGATTTATAGATGGACATTTAATATGGAAGCATGTCTTTATTGTCATGAAAGTTTATGGCTCAAGATAAATTTTCATTTTTCAGACTAGCTGGCTAACATAAGTTTAACATAACACAGCAAATTGTGTTGCCAATAAAAAGTTATTGGCCATGGTTTTTGTTCTAATTTCTTCAAACCAGGCTTCCTCAACCTCGGCCGTCTAGATGTTTTTGGCCTACAACTCCCACGATCCCTAGCTAGCAGGACCAGTGGTCAGGGATGGTGGGAATTGTCTCAAAACATCTGGAGGGCCAAGGTTGAGGAAGCCTGCTTCAAACCTTTGAAAGCTTGAACTGCTTAATGCTTCATTCCTATCTGATGCTATATTTTGTTTCTGGGAAGATAAGATAGGAGGCCTGTACCCCTCTGACTGCAGCTGTACTGTGAATTGATTTGTGAATATTCTTGTTTGCTTGCAGTGGAAATTATATATGAAATATGAAGAATTTGGAAGGATATGAGTGACTGTTGAGACAGAATTAATATCTGAATAGAATATTGATCTGCTTATATGCATATTTGTATTTGTTTTAGCATAAATGATGTAGGAAAAAGGGAGCTGGGGGAATTCACAGTTCTACATGCACTTACTGGATGGATACCAGAAATTATTCCTCTCCAGTAAGTTCCACTTTTATATGCAGTTCCTTCAGCTTTGCGTCCCGTATACTTGGTTGATCTGGTGTTTGGGGTGGGATGGGGTGAACAGATACACAGTATGACTCAAAACTTAAAAGCAGTCAAAATCAACTGAACTCTGTGGTTTTTTTAAAAAAAACTTAAAAGATCATAAGTTGATTGTTGCTGGGGTCTTTTTCTTGTCTTCCTTTCTGCCTGCTCGATACTCACTCGCTATTTAATCACTTTATGACTCCTTTAGTGAAATATTATCTTTTAAAATGGTTGTACACATGTTTTATTTGTTGGGTTTCATAGAGTCATAGAATCATAGAGTTGGAATAGACCACAAGGGCCATTGAGTCCAACCCCCTGCCAAGCAGGAAACACCATCAGAGCACTCCTGACATATGGTTGTCAAGCCTCTGCTTAAAGACCTCCAAAGAAGGAAACTCCACCACACTCCTTGGCAGCAAATTCCACTGTCGAACAGCTCTTACTGTCAAGAAGTTCTTCCTAATGTTTAGGTGGAATCTTCTTTCTTGTAGTTTGGATCCATTGCTCCGTGTCCGCTTCTCTGGAGCAGCAGAAAACAACCTTTCTCCCTCCTCTATATGACATCCTTTTATATATTTGAACATGGCTATCATATCACCCCTTAACCTCCTCTTCTCCAGGCTAAACATGCCCAGCTCCCTTAGCCGTTCCTCATAAGGCATCGTTTCCAGGCCTTTGACCATTTTGGTTGCCCTCCTCTGGACACGTTCCAGTTTGTCAGTGTCCTTCTTGAACTGTGGTGCCCAGAACTGGACACAGTACTCCAGGTTTGTCTGGTAGTTAATGGTGTCTATAGGATTCTAGCCTAAATGAATTTCAAATTCACACTTACCTGGGAGTTAGACCTGTTGAACTCAGTAGGGCTTTCATCTGAGCTAACATACATTGGATCGTGCTGTCCAATGATGTAGGGGGGAAACTATGTTTCATCGTATCAAATGATCCTTTTAAATATCTAATTTTGAAACTGCTTGGTTTAGTGTTTTTTTGTTTATGTTATTTCTGAATGAGTTTTACAGAGTAATCCTAACCTTCTGATCTGTGCTGCTAGAGAGAGTTAAGATAAGATGATGTCACTCCACTGCTGCCAAAAGTGCAGGGGGTTGAAAGGCTGTTTGCAGCAGTTAGTATAGGGCTCCAAAACATAGCCTTATAGAATCATAGAGCGTGGGGAGGTACAATGCAGAACCAGCCATAGATCCACTAGATGTAAAGCTGCTTTATCCCAGAGGGGTGTGCCAGCATAGAGCCCCTCAACAGTATCAGCCTAGAGCCAGCATTGCAAAAAACAGATTGACTGGCTCAAGTGGCAAGACTTGGGCATGTGGCCATTGTTCCACCACTTTACTCCCCTGGTTGGGGTTGCTTTTGCTTTGTCCCTACAACTTGAGACAAAACTGTTGTGCTTGTCTTCGTTAGTTATTTTCTCAGTACTCTAGGGGAAAAAAAAACCAGGTTGCATTTCTTTTCAAGGAGTGGATACATTCTGACACTAGGTTCCAAGAGTGACTAGAACAGTTCCAGTGATGACCAGACTATTTAAATGGTAGTAAAATTCAGCATGGTTGCTTGACTATAATAATAACTTGAGTAGCATAATGCATATGCAGTAAATAAAGAGCAGACAGAACTACATTTCAAAGTAATGTTTATGTATATTTTAAAGATCTGGATATTTGGATAAAGTTTGGGAATTCTTAAGAGAGACATTGCCAGAATTTAAGTTACCAGAAGAATCCGTTCCTGAACTTAAGATGTCACTTCAAGACACTAAAAAAGATCTAAAATCATCTGACATTAAAAATGATGCCGTACCTACTGTTAAGCCACCAGAGAAGGTAGAGAAACCTGAAAAAACTGCCAAAGGTATGAAATTATAAAGACTGTAAATGATATGCAACAAGGGACACCTTCTGGACAGAGAAACCACATCTTTATGTCTTTACACTTTTCTGTATAGGCGTCAAATAATCACATTAAACTCCAAGGAGTTACCAGACTTGAAGGTGTTACGTGTATGTGAGAGAGAGAACTGAGCTTCGATGTAAGGTTGCAATCCAGTGTGCAATAAAGTACATTTAAATCGCATTGAAGTCAGTGCAACAGTGTGCTGGACTGAAAATTTAGGACTGCCCTCAGATAACTCAGTGAAAATTTACTGCCACAGTAAATACATTAAGCCTTACTGATTTCAGTAGACTTAACTGTACACAGGATAGTGATGTGTAAGTCTAGTTGTAAGTACTGATCAAATAGAATACAGGAAAAATACTCTCCACGTAAATATTTTTTAATCAAGTCTTAAATATTATCTGGGGTTTTTTCTTTAAATGACATAGTTTAGAGCCAAAAACATTTGCTCCAATAGCAATTGCATGATTTTTTATAAAGTACCGGTAAATAGCAGGAATCACAGGAAGGTAAAGGATCTCTGTGGCCTGATTCCTGTCACATATTCTCTTTTTGTCTCTCTATATATACTGTATATATATACAGTGCACTTTCTAATTGCATGGGATGGGGTCATGTCAAGTTTGGCCCTTAGAAACTGAGGTGAGCTCTACTTTTAGCACATAGCAGCTTCAACCAGGAGTGTTGTATTGTTTTGCTTAGGTCCTGTGAGCCAGCTGTGCCCTTCCCTGGAGAAGGCTGGCCATCCTCACACATTCCTTAGTTATTTTGAAACTGGATTATTGCAGCAATTTATATAGGGTTGCCTTTGAAAAGTGTCCAGAAACTTCATCTACTGCAAATGATAGCAGAAAGAGTTTTACTTAACCTGATTCTTTTAAAAAATCAAATCAAATCATTGGACTCTGCTGCTTCCAATTTGTTTCTGAGCACAATGCAGGTTCTGGCTCTCACCTTTCAAGACCTGAAATGGTTGTAATCCTGCCCATGCCACTTAGATCTTTAGAGGTTCTGCTCCATGACTAAGTGTGGTTGATCAGTATGTAGTCAAGACTTGTTGTTGTCATGCCTTACCTCTGGATTCCTTCTCACAAGAAGCCCAGATTAACTTATTATTTTTGGTGAAAACATTTTTCCATGGGCCCAGGCTACTGGGATTTGTAATCTTTTTTATTTCATCCCTACTGTAATTTTTCTACTACTATAATGTTCTATATTTTATAGTTCTGCATAAGCATTATATTTTTATTGTATATGAATAGTCTTTATCAATATTGTTGTTAAGTGTCTTAAAGGTTCTTTAGAATGGAAAGTACAGTGTAAAAACACTTTAAATAAGAAAGAAAGGTGACTATTAGTTATCCTTTGTGCTTTGTTCTGCTATAAAACCGCTAGGCAGGCCAGTAAACAGGCATCGTGTTAGTTCTTTTCCAGAGAGACTCATATTATCTGCTCACGAAGCCCCTGCGTTGGCATTCCAGTCTTTGCTGGGGCTTTGCATGGGGGCATCTGTGAAGATCACAGTCTCTGCGTGGGTTATTGATTCTCATAGTTGCTAATGGGTGGTGCTGGACTATGGCCTGAGAGACCAGGGTTTGAATCCCCACTCAGCTATGAAGCTCACTGGGTGATCTTAGGCCAGTCACCATCTCTTAGCCTAAGCTACCTCACAGGGTTGTTGAGAGGATGAAATGGGGAGGAGGAGAGCCATGCACACCACATTGAGCTCCTTGGAAGATAAAGGTGTTATATAAATTTAATTAATTAATTAATTAAATTAAAATACGTGGAAAGGTTATAGACAAGATATGAGTGGTGAGCCATTTGTAAAGGTTGCCTTGAACACAGAATCATGATTTATCTTGAACTTAACATTTATCTAAAACAGAGGCATGGATTTTGGTTCACGGTTTTCTGCACTACCCATTGCTTGAGACAAGGACCACTGGGTGTTGTGTGACCATGTATGGTAGTATTCACGCGTGCATTGTCTTTCTTTGGTAGAGAAGCAAGATCAAAAAGATGTTGGAAAGAAGAGAAGCAAAGATGGTGAAAGGGATAAATTTAGGCCAGGGCCTCATTCTGGACGCGTGTCTTCTGACTTTCAAAATTCTCTCCAGCTGTTTCTTGATGGTAAATTATAATTGTTCCTAGATGTATGTAACAACTGATCTCAACAGCAAATATTTTATTGACTTCTGCTCATAATTAAGGATTGTAGGCTTTTCCTCAGCTAAATGAGACTGCAAAAGATCACACCAGCTTGCATGAAACAGAAATTAATGTCAAAGGCAGGCAGAAAGTACTTCATAGTTGGTTTCAGCCTCAGGGAAAGTGTATATTGCCCCACATTCCCATCTTCTTTTAGGTGGTCTGAAGAAGTTAACCTCTTCAGGTAAACTGCAATCCTGAACACGTTGCTAAAATTTTGGGTTTGTTGTGGGAAAAGCAGGAAGGTACATGGAACAATTCGCTTGGAGGTTGCTAGTTCCTTCCATGGTTTGACTAGCTCTTTTTCTGCTCTAAGCACAAGAGGTCACGTAGGGGCAGATCAGTCCCTAGAAAAAGAAGTGAATAAAATGTATGCCGTTTAAGTGTAAAGCCCTAACTGATCATGAAACCACTGTTCTGTAGTAGCTCCATTCATCTGTGCCTGAAAGGTTACTTAACTTGAACAAAATTGGTGAAATCAAGTTTCATTTCTTGCCTTCATAGCAACATAGCACCTAACAAGGTCTATAATAGTTATGATAATAATTGAGCTATTATCTGTGGCAGCATTTCAGGTGGGTTTTTTTTTACTGTTTTGGAGTTTTTTTATCTTGTATTTTTATCTTGTGAACTGCCCTGAAATCTTTTGAGGGGTGGTATATAAATCTAATTAATAATAATATGTAATGTGTTCTTTTAATAGGTTCTGCAACACCACTGCAACCACAGATGGTGGTATATGCTTGCTATATGCCTCTTTATGTGTCTGAAAGAAAGATATTTGTCTTAGGGAAAATGGTAAGGCTTTGTTTATTTTGCCTTCAAAATATGAACTAATAATTGAATAAAAATAGCAAATATATCAACAAAGAACACAAAACATATTTGTCAAAAGGGCTGTTTGTAGACCAATTTTCTGCCTCTGTCCAGCTCAGGTTTGGGGTTGGTTGGTTTTATACCTTAAGTGCTTTGACTTGTTAAAAAGAAATGTATGTTTCATAAACATTCCTTTTTTGAAACTTGGTACAGCAATGCACAGTTAATTGGAATCCTGACATGTATAGTATTCTTACCATTAACAGGGATATCTTCCCAATGTTACTGGAGACTTTCCATATAGGTCTAGCCAAGAATAAGTTGCCCATCGTAACGAAGGATAATCTAGAAGTAGACAGGGCTGTAATTATGCTAGTGACTGGCCAAGCTTGCCAACAGTCTTTGAGAGAAATTACAGCTCAATTACAGTACAATATTTTATTTCCACTCCAAACCTGAGTCTTATTGTTTTTACAGGACTGTGCAGTTGTTCCTATATTCCTCTATATTCCCCTTCTACCTCCTTGATATTCTGTCTTGCCAATGGTAGGATTGGAGCGCTCAGATGGAGTTTAGGGCTGTTGATGGCCCCACATACAGAGGCAGTGCGGTGCTCTCTGTCCTAGAACAATTATGATAGTCAGAAATTACATAATTGTGCCAAAACTACTTTCCTCTTGGTATTTTTATGTGTAACACAGCCTCCATTGTGCATTTTATTCCTCTTTCTTTTGCAGGCTGATTCATCTGAGCAGTTGCGGCAATATGGTCTTTCCCACATATACAGTCACCCTGCACTGCTAACCAGAACAAGGTCCGGTCCCCTGGTAGCCCCTCCCAAACCACCACCTATTCCTCGTTGGAAACTTATCCGCCAGAAAAAAGAAACAATTGTGACTGATGAACCCCAAGGTTTGTCTTTCCAGGCTTTGCGGTATATTAAACAATAAGCCAAAATGTAATACTTGTCTCTTGATTTCACCCACACTGCCATTTAGAGGATCAAAAGGATTGATATATGAAAATTCAGATGCTTTTTACTTTACCTAGTAAGTATTATTCTGTGCTTGAAATGAATACTGAAAGTAGTACTGTTGTGTAGTTTTTGTTGTGTTTCCCTTGTCTTGACCACGTTTGAGACATAGGGATATATTGTGTCTTCTGAAAGCAATCTGACCCACAGCAATACACATACATACACAAAATATAGTATAGGACACTTCTCTGGTTTTGCACAGAAACTTGCAATGTGGAAAGTGTTATCATATTGATGGGAGGAATGTTGACTTTTTCTTTGTTTGGGCCAGACTAATGAGAAAAGAGAGTGGCAGAGAAGAATATTACTATCATATTATCCCTCCCTCGAGCTCCTAATAGTCAACATCTGTCTTTGAAGCTTTACAGCTGTGGCAGAACCAGCCGGAGGACTCTAGGCATCTTAGCCTCTTTTCCTGCCCACAGGGCAAGCCTGCTGCTGGTGGGCTGACCCCAAAAGGGTGACATGAAAGGGGATCACCCAGTTTGGGTCATTGCTTTGGTACTGTCATGAAGGTGAGGCTGATGTGCTGTACAACATTAAGAATATTTTTTTCTTGTTAAATCTGTGCTGTTAACATTTTAACATAAATCTGCTAACCATGTTTGTCTGTGTGCACATTTCACCTTTCTGAATGAAAGGGAGTCTAATTGTATAGAACCTGCAGATAATATACTATTCCCTGGATTCAGGTTGTTATTTTTCAATGAGAGTCGTTTTTTGTGGAGGGTTTCTTAAACGATGAAGAACTCCTGCTTTTGTTCTGTACCTTCCAGAACCTGTCATTAAAAAGCCAGAACAATTCATTGAACTTGCTAGCCCGTTTCTGAGCTATAGACTTTCTCCAATACCAATACCAAGAGACACGTAAGTATATGAACCAGTGGGCTTCAGTGAATTATATTTGGAAACCTACAATCAAGCGTTACATAAAGTTTAATAAATAATGATATTTTGTGCAATAAAGGTTAATTTAACAACAATTTAACACTACAAAGTATTAAAGGGGTGTGTTTATCAATAGAGGAAGAAAGGGAGGAAAGGAGGGGAAATGTGCCACAAGTGATTTGTATTCATAGAAGTTCATGGTAATGCTGTAATTTAAAAAAACCCGAACTTCAAAAATCCCATTAGACATATATAACTTCCTATATGTCCAAAAGACAATGTGTTGGAATCAGACTTGCATTCCTGTTAGAGGAAGGAGAGGCACTTTTCTCAGATTCTTTTCCACCCCCCGAAAAACTGAACCAGAGAATTTGGAGATTCCCTAGAGCAGCATGAGAGGCAGCATGCATGTGCGAGGGGGGTGGGCTACATAAGGAATTGGAGATGATAATGATGATTTCATTTCTAATGTGTATTTCCCCGAAGTTCCCAGGGCAGGTTACAAAAAAATTAAATACAACATTAAAAACAGATTTAAAAACAAAAAAGACAATCACAAAAAATAACTACCAGAAATGATGGCTTACAATTTATGCTTCAAAAATGCAATGGATGGTAATCAACACGATGCCCTTGTTTTCTCCCAGGCAGTGGTTTCAGCCAGGAGACAAGGTTCTTGCCCAAGTGGTAGCAAATGCTAGACCGGGCTTCCTCAAACTCGGCCCTCCGGATGTTTTGAGACTACAATTCCCATCACCCCTGACCACTGGTCCTGCTAGCTACGGATCATGGGAGTTGTAGGCCAAAAACATCTGGAGGGCCGAGTTTGAGGAAGCCTGTGCTAGACCCAAATTCCAGGGACTCATTGTCACATATTATTAGCTCCCATTCAGGAAGCCAGGCCCAGTAAGGCACAGCCAGACAAAGGAAAATGTAGGCCTAGATCAGTCATCCCCAAACTTGGCCCTCCAGATGTTTTGGGACTACAGTTCCCATCATCCTGACCACTGGTCCTGTTAGCTAGGGATGATAGGAGTTATCCCAAAGCATCTGGATGAGGCAAACCGGCAAGGTTGTTAGATAAGTAGCACCCTGGATAGCTCCTAGTAGCACCTAGGTTGGCAGTGAGACAAGGAAAGCTTGAATGTAGCTCCAATAAACAGTGAACCCAGACTAAGCCTGAAACAGGCCTCCCACTTCCTTGGAACAGCTAGCCCGGCCTCTGGTGAGCAGAGCCTCTGCTCTTAAAAAAAGTCTACCTTCTTTTATAGAACAGGTACCAGGATTAGAAGCTTCATTAGTAAATCTCACCTCCTCAAAGTGCAAGGAAGTGTTTTTGATTTCTGAACTTAAATTAATTTTCCTTGGATATTCCCTATTTTCCAGTAGGACTTCTTTTTACGGTAACTGCTAATGGAGTAGAGTTACTCGGCTGGACATTTTAATATATACATTTTCTTTAGAGATGAATGTTAATTTATCTGTGTTTTATTTAGCCATTTCCCACCTTCTACATTCAAAAAGGGATCTCTTCCAGCATCCAGTCTTCCTGCTGTCACTGAAAATGATGAAAGCATAATTGACTCTTCTGGAGATTCAAATTTAACAAGTACAGAAGAAATTTCTCAGGTGAAGGTTTTACCCTGCATGGGTTGTTCTCCATTCATGCTAAAAATTGTGTACACTGCTTCCTGTATGATCAGTTTTTTGAAAAAAGAAAAATGTTGCTGAGCTTTTTCTCTCTGCATTTGAATAAATCAGAAGACTGTGATTCATCTGAAGTTTGTAGTAAAAAAGTGATGTTCACAAATCATTCTAGATCAGTCCTGCACAACTTGCCAAGCAAGCACAACTCAGCCTACCAGCCACGCATGTATAACCTGTTGGGGTTTGAAATTGGCCCTGTTTTTTTGCAGTCCCAAGTAGGCAGCAAAAACAAGATGCTTATCAAGCACAAAATGCTGCTGGGCAGGTTGTATAAACCTCTGTCCCATTCACCAGTGTCTCATAAGTCCCATGAGAGGCTTTAAGGGCCTGTGTGGATGAGTTGGGAAATTCAGCTTCCACCATCCGTCTTCTAGGGACTATACAGTCAAACCTTGGAAGCCGAACTCCTTGGCACTGGCATGTTTTGGCTCTCAAACACCGCAAACCCGGAAGTGAGTGCTCCGGTTTATTTGGAAGCCGAACGTCCGGCACGGCTTCCGATTGGCTGCAAGAAGCTCCTACAGCCAATCAGAAGCTGCACCTTGGTTGCCGAATGTTTTGAGAGTTAAACGGGCTTCCAGAATAGATTCCGGTTGTCTTCCAAGCTATGATTGTACTCTGGATTCCAGATTCTATCATTTTATAACCTTTATTGAGCATACTGTAACGTGGAGGACACAATTTGTAAAAATACAGAAATATTCCCTTAAATTGGACTCCCAGTACTATATTGATCTGAGAGCAGAACAGTTGTCCTAGAATGGAATTGGTGGGCATGATCCTAAATCTGCCACCATGCATAGAAGCAATTTGGTAGTAGAGTGCTGAGCATACTTCTGATTTAAGAGTTGTCCCTAGGGACGAGAACAGAGTTGTTTTAAGCATTCAGTTATTGCCTCACATCCTGCAGTGAAGCCAACACTAGCACACATGTGTGCACATGCACACACAGTCTCATGGAAATGAGTGTGTAGTGAAGTTTGCCAGACTGTGGACGTTTGCTACAGATAACTAGCTTTCTATGACACTTCTAAGTTATGACACATTTAATTTATTTTGCTTTTTGCTATTTTGTCAGTATTTTTCTAAACAAACTTTCCCCCACTCTGCAGGAATCTACTTTAGCTGCACCACATACTATGGAAGGATCCACCAAAGGTAACTAATATGATTGTGAATAATGAATTCTCTATTGAATAGGAAAATATTTATTCATTCATTCAGTTATTTAGCTATAAATGAAGTAAAAATTCTATAAATAGCTAGTTCCAAGGTGTTTACAATGCAAAATTATAGGGGGAGAACAGCAATGAAAACTTGCCAGAGAAATAAGCAGTTGGTAAAAAGGAATTTCTAATATTGCATCACATTAAACTAGTATTTCCCTCCAATAATTTTGGACTATAACTGACATAATCTCTGACCATTGACTTTGCTTATGGGGGGTGATAGGATTGTAGTCCAATACATTTAAAGAGCCTCAGTTTGGGGAAAATTATGCTAAACCATGGTTTGGTTTACATGTGAACCAATCCTATATCACACTCCCAAATGCTAAAGCTCTGTGTTCTCTGAAGCCCTCTTAATAATACCTAATCTCTTTTAATGCTTCATGAACTTTGTCAAAACATGCACAAAGTACATGAGTGCTTCTCTCTCTCAAAAGAGCATGTGTGTTAATATTTCGCATTGTGTTATCATGTAACTACAGAAACATCACATAGCAGTAACCTACCGTAAGTAGGGATGGATGGTTGTTTATTTCTGTTCTGTGTCACTTTTTCTTATGTTCACTTATAATTACATTTATTGCATCTCCACATTAATCTGTATTTGGGGTGGTGTGTATTAAATAGGCCTTTTCTGTCAAAATCTGCATTTCTTAACTTGCTTTCTCTCAAAATACACATTTAAAAATGTATTTCAATACTTTGAGCCCAACCTGCACCAAACACTAGTGAATTGCAAAAGTCGGTTAACTAAATTCAGGTTGTCATATTGATCTGGGAAATGTTGTTCAGCTCCCTTCTTATCAGAGTTAGGACAGACTGGCTTCTTGGAGCACAATGCTTCCAGAACTTCAGTTGGGCTTGTCTCTTAAAAACAGATTATTTTAAAATATGGTGTATAAAATAGATTCAAGGATGTGCATTGACAACCCTGTATTCGGCAACTTCTTTACTAGAGATTAGGTAAAACAGAGAAGCATTCGTTGCCGGCATGCTTCAGGGCTAACCTAGAGAGCCCTCTAGAGGTGAAGCATAACCATTATGTTTTCATTTATTCAGGTTTTTTTTTTGTGAATTGGGTTTAAAGGGTTCACAGCTTCACAACCTTCGTTTCAATTCACAGTCTTCAAATAATTTATTTCTTCTTTTTGAAGATGTATGAAATCTTCAGTATGCAAGCAATATGTTGGTTTGGGGGTCCTGTTTCAAGGGGTTATGGACAAATCCTCCTTGATTCAGTCATTATTTTGCAGCTGTCTTGGTGTATATTCAAGAAAAATGCTTCTCTGCTTTTGAAAATTCTCTTCTGACGTATTGATAGTTCATCTGTGCTTATGTTGCTAGACAAACATGCCCTTCCCAACCTAGTACCTTTCAGATGTTTTGTACAGTGTTGCTGGCTGGGACTGATTGGAGTTGTATTCCAAAATATCGGAAGGGCACCAGGTTAAAGAAGGCTGCCTTACTTTGCTGCTTTCTGGGGAGTTAGATATTCAATCTCTCTCCTTTCTTTACCTTTTTAAGAGAAGAAAGAATAGTTCAGTCCATTTATCTTGAAAGCATTTGCCTTTGTAGTGCATGCAGCTTCACAGCAATCAGTGAGGATTTAGGCTGTTACGGGTATACATATACAGTATTGCTAAGTTGCTTTATGATAAATTACTAGGATAATTTTGCCCTGTTTATGTTTCTCAACTTTACCAGTAGAATATAGTCTTTCATTTTGAGTGTAAACTTAAGGACATCTTTTTTCCCTCCCTTATCTGTGCAGGGGAATCGACTGAAAAAATAAGTAGTGAAGCAGCTCCAATGCCAGAATCAACAGAACCTGCTAATAACCAGTTAGGAAATAAATCTCAGGAAGAGATAGAATCAGAAAAGAGCCCTATCTCCAAGGAAATATGGATGGACTATGAAGATTTCTGTGTTAGTTTTCAGTAAGGCATGCTTTTATTATTGTTACAGAGGCTATATCTTCTTTTGTGGACTTTTCCAAATTATCCTTCAAATTTGCGTAGGTGACTCATGGCTGCTACACAAAAGGCATCCTCAATCCCTGTGGTGCATACTAGAAATTCAGCAGATTTTCTTATAAATCTGCCATCTGATGATTCCTAGCAATTTTCTGTATTTTCTTTAAGACAATGGATGGTGTCCAGTGGTGGCCACCACTAGGAGAATGGACTTCTACTGGTGTGACAGAACTTCCCCTTCCTTCCCTCTGCAGTCCCCTGCATACATTCAAAAGCCTGTTCTTGATGGTTCAGGGACCCCCCTGGAGTAGATTTGGGGAGCATATGATGGCAGAGAAAACGGGGAAGTCCCATTGTGCAAGCAAAAGTCCGCTCATGCAACAATGGATGTTGCCCAGTAAGAGATTTCTGTGATGTCTGATAACCTTCTTTAATAAATGTAACATCAATTTTCCAGAATAATTGTCTTCAAAAGCAGTTGCCAAACTCCTAGCATCCCCTTTCCATTGTTCCTTAGAGAACAAGCTGCACATACCCAATTGCTACACCCATAATGTCACAGATGTCATTTCAGCCCATAGGTCTGTAGGCCTGTCTGATCGGTTACAAAAACACCTTTGCAAGCTCCATTTTACTTCCTCCACACAGAGCTCTTGGTCCCTTGTAGTTCTTGCCATTCTGCCTCTTGCTGCCCCATTCCTGAAACCAGGTTCTTTGAACTTACTATACATGCTTTCACATTGGTTTTTGGTTCTATGTCTCCTGGACATAAGAATGACTCACTGGACACATTCTTCCCTCATACATAAATGACTTGAAATGCCAAATATTATTTTATTTATGAAAAGACAGTTATGGTGAAATGAAAAGTAAAAAGTAAAAAGGTGCCTTATGAGGAACGGCTAAGGGAGCTGGGCATGTTTAGCCTGGAGAAGAGGAGGTTAAGGGGTGATATGATAGCCATGTTCAAATATATAAAAGGATGTCATATAGAGGAGGGAGAAAGGTTGTTTTCTGCTGCTCCAGAGAAGCGGACACGGAGCAATGGATCCAAACTACAAGAAAGAAGATTCCACCTAAACATTAGGAAGAACTTCTTGACAGTAAGAGCTGTTCGACAGTGGAATTTGCTGCCAAGGAGTGTGGTGGAGTCTCCGTCTTTGGAGGTCTTTAAGCAGAGGCTTGACAACCATATGTCAGGAGTGCTCTGATGGTGTTTCCTGCTTGGCAGGGGGTTGGACTCGATGGCCCTTGTGGTCTATTCCAACCCTATGATTCTATGATTCTATGAAAAGGTCCTTTCACATAACTTTTTAGCATTTAGGAAAATCTTAAGCACATGGTTATATTTTTTACATCAGATTTGATGCTCATAAACATCCTAAATTCAACCTGAACATGATAAAGGTGTAATGGAAGAGTTCTGTCTTGGCTGCAACCACAACTACCAGTGCAATCCTATGCACATCAATTAAAAAACAAGTCTCATTCAATTCCATGGGGCTTACTCTCAGCAATGGAGCACAGGATTGTAGCCTAAATGAACAATGGAAACTTAGACTTAATTACTACTTGCAGTCCAGAATGGTGACAGACTATTCACATTTTCAATTTCAGAAGCTGTCATGTAATTTGGAAGTTAACTTCTATTGCTAGATGATAATAACATACTGAGTAACTGTTCAAAGAATCCTGATGGTTTGTTTCAGTTGTCTTATAATTCAGTAAAATGTGATGCACAGCGTGAGGGAGAGGTTTCTGTATAATTAATGCTAAAATAATAATGTTTGCTTTCCTTAGGAATTTGTATGTCTTCCACAAGCCAAATACCTATAGCTACACCTATCAGAAGTCAGATTTTAGAGTAAGTGCACTGACTACATGATTTATTCATCTCTTTGTAAACTATAACGGCATTGTGAATCCCAGTTTTGTATCCATTCTGTAAACATTTGCATTCGCCAGTAAAATGTTACTGTCTACAAAAACCTAGCACAGAAATAATTGATACAAATCCTAAAATATAAATGATAGACATTAAAAACAATGTTATCATGATACTTTGGGATCAGAGATACTGCAGAATTTCAGTTTGGATCTGACAGGGAAACTAGTTCCCTTAGCCTCATTTTGTATAAACACAAGTTTAGATAATTGTGTTTTTTAATTTTTCCTCTGCCATCAATTCACTCAGAATACTTTGAAACCTCTTTGTAGTTTGTATAGTATAGTAGGCTAACATATGAGCTGGACAACAACACGAGAGATATGATGAACTTTTAACTAAGATAATTGGTTAATTAAAAGGGATACTGTGCACAAAGGAATACTAATAGTTACATCAGGGGTCTTAAAGGTACTTGATAAGTGACTTTTACCTCAGGCCAAATCCCTAAACCTCCACCCCAGTCAAATGCAGCCACAACCCAGTCCAGTTACTTGAGTCAATCTGCCTCTGACCAACCAAATTCCTCTAGTTGCTTAGACAGTTTAGCCAGCTTAAAAAACCTGCTTGTGCAACCTTCCTCTGTTAAGACTTTTACATAGTGCAGCCTCTCAGACCTACTCAGTCACCAGCTCCCTTCTCCTGGTTTTCACCAGATGGAGTATTAATATTTGGGACTCAACTTTCCCTTCCGATCTCCCTGTCTTTCCCCAACTCCTTAACTGACCATTTTTCAACTCCTTTCCTGACTATTGACACCCCCACTCTAGAATTTCTGTACAATCAGAGTCTTCTATCACCCAGTCCAATCAGAATGAATTTACATGATTTAGGCCCCGCCTAATACCTTTTCAAAGTGATCACCTCTCTTCCCTCTCAGAGCATGTCACCAAGCAACTACTATTATAGAGGCTTTCAACATAATAACTTTATTTATTTATTTATTTATTTATACCCCGCCCATCTGGCTGAGTTTCCCCAGCCACTCTGGGCGGCTCCCAATCGAGTATTAAAACAAATCCAGCATTAAACTCTGTCACCAAATTTATATTGAGTTGAATCCAGATAAAAGCCTATAGAAACGCAGCTGGCTTACCCCCAGCCATCTCATGGAAGATGCCACTGCCTGGTTTTCTGTGATCTCCCTCCCCCCTCCCCCCTCCCCCCACCCCATGCCACAGCCTACCCCATTTAACTGGGTCCCCTGATTCTCATTATAAACTTTCTGGGAGTTGGAAGCTGCCAGAGGAATGGGGGTAGGAATATCAAATTATCCCAGTCCACTGATGTGGAATTTTCTGTGGATCCAAAACATTTTGGAATACAGTGAAATAAAGTTATTAGGCATTCAGCCAGTTCAAGTACCCCTTGTACCCTAAGGCCTAGAAGAAATTGAGGAGAAGTTCATTTGTTCTACATTTTTAAAGCAAGTTGCACATTCTGGACCAATACACGGGAAAGAATTCAGTGTTGTACTAAGGTGATTGTTCCAGCAGGACAAGCATTTCAGCCTGCCAGATGGAATGATCCCTTTCTCCTCTCACTCATACTGTTCTGGGATTCTCCTGACCCCCTCAGGGCCAATTTTGGGGGGCAAATGGAGAGGAGACTTGTGTTGTGTTTAAGTGTTTTGTGCTAATTAAGTAAAATATAGTTGCAGAAGTCCTAAACCCATTGCTTCATCATATTAACTAGCTTTTGTGTCTTCTCTTTTAAAATATTTAGACCAGTAGTTTACGAAGAGCGCTCATTAAAGATTTCCCCTGATGTACTTCCTATGGACTGAGGCAAACGAAACTTGGGCACAGTTATTAGTCCTTCTCTACATAGCTACCAGCAAGAGTCACACACTTCTCCCATCGCTTTATGCAGCTACAAATTACCACATTACCTATGGAGAGATGTATACATGTACAATTTCATCTTCCTACAATAACAGAAGTGGGTCAGGGAAAATCTTTAATGAGCAGCCCTTGTAGGAAGCCATACATAAAATTATTCTTAGGATAAACTTAACTTTTTTCAGTAGATTAAAATAGAAACTAAATGTTATGGGGAAGCAAAACCTAAGGTTTTGCTTGATGACCTTTCATTGTTCACTTTATATCATACACTGATTTGAAAAACGGTGTTTAAAATATAACTCAAATGCTGTCAAATACTAGTTGCTCCAACACTAGATAAATAATAAACATGGATACTCTTTTTTTCCTTACAGATGGTGGACGATCGTATTGTATATTATTTATCTGTAGATAGTTTGAAGCCTACTGATATCCTGGTTAGCTTTTCTGCATTAGTACACTGGGGGGAATCAGGAGGTAAGATCAGTATCAAATAGATAGGTAAGGCAAGTATTGATTCTTGTGATTTTCTTCACAAAGAGGTATTCAAAGATAGAACTCTGTTAGAGCTGCAGTATTTGTGATCTTCTCCTATTTTGACACACAACTTTCTCATTTTACGAGTGTGTGGTGAAAGTCTTGGATGCAATTAATTGTTCTTAAGCCCAGAGTCTGTAGTAGAACTGCACATGTTATTAACAAACAAATCAAAGTTCAATCAACTTCCATCCTCTTCATAATAATTTGAGGCTGCTTTTATGGTTTGCCATAATTTGCAATTGAAAACAGCCTCAAGGCATATGTCAGAATAAAAATGCCTTACATGTGGCTCAGTTGTTACTGGAGTTCTAGGGTCTGCAGCCCTGCTTGCTCTGTTCACCACTGTCCCTACCATTTGCCCTACATTAATCTCCTAGAGCTTCCTTTCCCAGTCCACACAACTATTAAGCTTTCTGTTTTAGGTTTTAAGGAAGGCACATAGAACACATAGTCCCTTCAGCATTAGTACAGTGCACATGAGGCTCAAGGAAACCTGTGAAGGACCAGTCTACTCTGTCTCCTATCATTGCCTTGGGTTTGGTTTGTTGTCCACCACAAGAGGCATCTCATTACCTGAGACCTGGAGAGGGTAACATAGCATGTTCCTCACTCCTTGCATATTCAAGATTTTACCTGTTCAAGAAGGTGTAGAAGAGAAACATGTTAGACTCTTTGTTCATGTACCTGAAGTAAGCCTCTTAGTGGTAGGCATATGTAGGTGTCAGGGAACTGCCATCAGCTCAGAAGCGAGAGATGGAAGGGCAGTTGTGTTATAGGGAGCCTCCGAAAATCTTGCGAAACAGTTCCTCTTCCGGTGAGGAGGAAAGCCCCATGTCCAGTGGAGAAGAGGTGCAGAGACCAGAGGATGCTAGGGAGAGCCTCAAAACCGAGCCTGAGCAAACCGGAGAGGCCCTTGCCAGCACCCATTCTGTGCAGTAGGTTTCGGTTTAGGGAGGGGCGGAAAAGGCTGGGGGTGACACGACTTTTATGCTGGGGGAGCTACAAAAACTGAACACTCCCAGATTCTGCTAGCGATTGAGCCAGACATGAACTTACGACGCTCTTCACTGTAAATAGTTTGCACCAAGAATAAAGCCTGGAAAAGACAGGTCAGAGTCTTGCCTGTTTACTCTGGAGCAACCACACCAGCATCTGACAGTAGGATTTGAGTGTTTCATTGTTTTTTAGTAGAACTGCTTACAAATTTTAATTATTTGCTGCCCCTGGCAACTTGACTTAACATGTTATAGGCAGAAAGGAAAAGGCTGATGAGCTTTCTCCTTTCCTTTTGTTTTATTGTCTACTCTCTTGAAAGACTGCCTGCTGATATTTATAAGATATAAATCATGTTCTATGAGGTTTACAAGCAACAAACTACAAGTTACATCTAAGAACAACTTTCAGAAGACATCTGAAGGCAGCCCTGTATCGGGAAGTTTTTAAATGTTTGACTTTTTTATGTTTTATGTGTTGGAAGCCGCCCAGAGTGGATGGGGCAACTCAGCCAGATGAGCAGGGTATAAATAAAATCCTCAGCATATGTAAAGATATTGGAAATGGTTACATTTTGGTGATTAAAAAAACAACAAGTTATCTGTATACTTTTATTTTATAGCAAGTGCACAAAAAGAAGGCCATGTTTTGCCCAAGGGATTACTCATGGTTGAAAAATTCTCATGGAAAAATTTGGCGCCAGGACAATTAATCCTGAAGATCCATACATATGCCACTAAAGCTGCTGTGATAAGTCTTCCTGCTGGGTATGTGCCATTCTGCTACACCCTTTTGATCCCTTTTGAGTTAGAGGCATAGCAATAGTGCTTTAAAATAGTGCTTTAAATAATTATTTACACATCTTCTCAGATTTTCTAATCCTCACAGCAATCCTGTAAAATAGGTCAGTGCCATAGTTTCCATGGAGTTACTGAGGCTGAGATATAAGCATTTATTTTTACGCTACCTCAATATTTAAATAAATAAACACACCTTTATGCTTTTATCAAAGCTATTGTCACTTTGTATGTTGTATACCCCTTTGCTGTATCTTTTATGAAAAATACAGTTTTAAATATTTAAATAAATTAATTCATGGTAGGGCTATGCCTCAGCAGAGGAACTCTCTGTTTTCTAGTGGGCAACAGGACACTTCCAACTGGGATCTTGTTCCTCCCTGTGCTTGCAGACAGGAAATGTTGACATTTTCAAAGAAGTTGCTGTGTGCCTCTCCCTTGGAAAGCCACAATCTGATTTCTCGGTTTCACAAAACTTGTGCTGTCTTTCTGGCCTCTTCTTTCTAATCCATTTGTGATTTTTGTCAGTTTTGTATGTGTGTTTTTTCTAAGGTGGGATGCCTTTGTGGTAGTTTCCCTCCCTGGCTGCCAGTGTTGTTGTTTTTTACCTCAGTATGGTTTGGACTTTTAGTGCTAACGTGTCTCACTAGTCCCTCATCTCTTCTCTTGTTCAGAGCTTAGCTTTATACCAGGAACTCTCTGACTCCCACCTCAGTTTCAGCCACAAGGGAGAGCTCAACTCCTACCTGAGGCATCTGTTCTTGCATGAGGAAGAAGATAGCTATGGTTACTTACTTTGCAGAATAAGCTACATATTTATTTGCTAGTGCCAACAAGTCTTAGCACTTTTTCACATATAACTTTTTTTCAAAGTGTACAAACACATGTGGTCCACCAAATAGTCTTAGAGCCATTCTCTAAATGTTTTGAGAGCCAAGCAATAAATAATGAAAGAGACAAGAGGGGTTTACTTACACTGACTGTTTAGAATTTCTGTTATGTTTTAGTTTCTTTGTTCATTAGTGTGCTTATTTTAAATGCAGGCGCCATGTGTTACTCTTCACTGCGAACTCCCCTGTAGGGCACCATATCCATCTTTGTAGCATGGTCCCATGTGTGTTTGGTGAAGAGGATATTGTCCTGCCAAATCTTGAAAAGGTATTTGTTACCATAACAACTGGAGCTATATTCCCATTGAGAGAAACAAATGTTCATTGTCAAGTTTTAAATCCTATTGAAGTTAAAGTTTTGTTCAAGAAGTACTTAGTCTGTTTCTGAATGGAAAAGATCACAGATCCATAATTACCCTGCAATTTAATTTTAAAATGGGCAGAATCTGGAAGACACTTGCATCATCACAAAATAATGCTAAGACATACAACTGCTTATGCAATTTTGAAATTTGGTTGCAGGCCCCACTGATGGCCAAAGGTAAGTGCCCAGCATTTTTTCTCCAAATCATACGGGGAGAAAATTCTGCAAAATGAACTACAGACTGAGCTCCACGAGGATCTCACCTAGCTCTTCAAAAAAGTAGTTGTGGTTCAATTTCTGCTGGATTTTCTTTCTAGAGGATTTTCTTTGTAGGTTTAACAGAGCTAGCAAATACATTTATACAAGTGGCGTTACAGGGTAAAGTCCTTCTGTTCATGGTTCTAGACATTCTCTTCTTTCTCCACTCAGCTCCTGTTTTTCTAAGTTTTCCTCTAGCAGACAGACAGCATTCCATACCCACTGAGCATTCTCAGTCTTCATTCAGTAGTTTTCCCCCTTTTGTTTCTTCACTATGTTTAGGTTTCTGTGGTTCCTGATCTGATCTACTGTATTGGCCCCAAAATAAGCCACACTTTTTTTCCAACTTCCGATCGTGAAAAGTTAAAGTGCGGCTTATATTCGCAACCTTACAGCACCGGCAAAGCAGCACGGCTCTCCCCCCTGGCCGAGAGCAGCCTGGGAGCACGGGGCAATGGTGCCCGTCCCGTCCATGGCTCCCAAGCCTCCCCCAAGCAGCCAGATTTTAAAGGTGCGGCTTATTTGCAAGTGCGGCTTATATTCTGGCCAATACGGTATATTGAATTCATAGATTTTTCAAATGATTCTTTATGTGGAACTCTCTTTCCTCTCCCCGGGGACATTAAAAAAACCCTCATAGTAATTACATACGAATGTAATAGTCGCTAACATAGGTTTAGTGCTTCAGTAATTCCTAATGAATTGACCATGTGCATGTTGTTGAAATAGTGATATATTTTTAATAGTTCTGACTAATGGTAGTGTATGTATTTTGTCCTCAGGAAAGCTATCGGTTCATAGAACAAGCCACCACTATCATGAAAGCCATTGGAAATGTGATACTGAATTTTGGAAATGCAGAAAACCTTCCCGCAGCCATAAAGACACTGGAAGCAACACATTGTCCTCCTGGCCTCTGTGCTCCAGGAACAACTAGAGAACACTTTAAGGTAAAAAAACAAGAAGAATCTTATCCTTCTGTTAACATGCAGAATATATTGTGCTTTTCAAATGATTGTTTTCTAGTACAGCCCATTAGCTGAAACTCCTGATAATGAAAATTTAGGTTGTCTCTCATGAATTCCTGTAAACATGCTCTTGTGAATTTCACATCAGTTAGTTTGAAAAGTCTAGATTTTCCTCAATGTTGACAAGAAACCTAACCCCATATTCTGGATGGTATGAACTAATAATTACACTGATTCCTGTTCTCTGGCTGCTTAGTGACATAAGAGCATAGAATCAGCTGCTGTGCTGTTGCACTGAGGTAATCCTTGGTCACTATGTAAATGAAATTATGGTCTTGTGCCAGTGTGGCACACAAGGGCCATTCTTCAAATCATGCAGACACAGTGAAGAATGGATAAGATCAACAGCCTTGTCTTCAGAACAGATCTCCACTCCCTAATTTTCAGTACATTATATAAATAATGAGAAAGTGAAGTATGAGTTTTAGAGACAATTACAATGTGCTCCACTGAGCAGCTGTGTTCCTCTTATCTCAAAGGACTGTCCCTTTAGCTATGGCTGTGCAAGCCTGAGGATCATGCTGCCCATGTTGAAGTAGCTAACATGTTGTTGAACTGCCTTTTCTCAGACAAAATACTTTGACTTTGGATATAGCTTTCAGCTAACTGTTGTTGTTGCTGCTGCTGCTGCTGCTGGGTTGTCAGTTGTTCAAACACCACAATGCCCCCAAATCTGAATTGTCCCCAACCTTTGACTGATGTTGAAAAGATACATTTGTTTGTTCTGGTTGCTTATGCAATTAAATAATTTGGAAACAATAGTGTCACTAGGCAGATATCTGATACTCCGAAAATATACTGTTTATATGCCATCATATCTTAAGATAGTGATCACATTATGTGGCTGGTTTGAAATATCAAAAGGAAAACTCATTTAGTTGGAGTGAGCCATTTTATAGATTCTACAAATCCACTCTATCTAGTAGTCAAATATACAGGTTGGGGTATGTGTTCGGTAATATTTTCCTCAGAAAATCATTAGTAGAAAGCATTTGAACATTTATTTATAATAATTTACTGACCATTTCTCTTTTACATTTTAGGCTTTCAATAATGCTTTTTGGCATTTGATAAAACAGACATTGGGGAATGTTCCTCTCAACTATAAATTTGCTTACAGATGTTTCACCTTGGATTTTAAAGACAGTGATGTGTCTGTTGAAGACACAGACTCTTCAGGTATATGGAAAACATAAATAATGTACCAGCAATATTTATTTTTAAATAATCTATTAAGAAGATACCTGAATGTTGAGATGTCCTGCCATTTTTAACACAACAAACGAGGCACAAAATTCTTAGGTGGTATTCTCTCATATAACTGATGGAGCCTACAGATTTTTTGAACTTCATACAGCAGAGCTAACATGATGCTGCTAACTTTAATTCTTTATCAGCACACCTTTATGCCATTGAACATGTTTGGTTTTTGTGTGATACTTTTGAGGTTTACCCATCTTTGATCCCAACTTTTGGGGCATCAATGTGGAGACACAAGCAAAGGAATACAAAGGAAGACTAGGACAATGTTAACAATAAGAGCCCTGCAGCACTTGAACATTGTTGATTCTCTAGACAGACCATTGTTCCATCTAGCTCAGTATTGCTGACACTGACTGACAACAGCTTTCCAAGATTTCAGGCAGGTGTCTTTTACATCCGTATGTGGAGATGCCAGAGATAGAACCTGGGAGCTTTTTCATCCAAAGTATATGCTCTAGCACTGAGCTACATCCTTTTCCCATTTCAACAGCACTGCAATCATTCAAATGCTCTGCAACACCTACAAAAAAAAAAAAACAGTCTTATATATGTTCTTAAACTTTAATTGGATTTCAGTTTTAATTAGCATTTGACACTAGGAGAACAGCACATCACTTACCTAAGCTTGCAAGACATAAGTCTAGCACTCAATACAAAAATCAATTTGCATTTTATGTTCCCAGACTTAAAGTGTAAATGCATTGCATCTAGTGTGGAGGATGAAACGGTCTGTGCTGTCTGTTTGAGGTCATCCTGGACCAAAACTAAGTACTTTGTTTAGCTAGTGCTTTATCTCCAATAGTTGCCAGGCCAAGCTCCAGGAAGTTACAAGCCACTACTGTAGTTGGTGCCTAGCATCTGACAATTGGCAGTGAATTGCCTCTGAAAAGTGAGGTTCCATTTTTGGCAATCAGGATTAACCAGGACCAGCAGTAGATATTGCACCACCTGAGATGGCAGCAGATGCCACCACCGTTTCTGCTGTTCCCCTCCTCTTCCTCCCCTCCACCAACTACTCCCTCCCACTCACGATCTTCCAACAAAGGACTCCTTTCTTAAAGCAAGGCATCTCAGAGATGCTCTGGGCTGCCATTTTTCTCCATTGGCAGCAAATGACTGTTTAAATCTTTTTTTTTTTTAAGGCAACTTAAGCAGTAATTTGCAGTACAGACACTATCTAGGAGATTTCACTGACATTACCTTACTCTGGGGAAATACCCCATCCCCAGAGCAAGTCATGGAGTACATGCCACCACTCTTGGCAGCAAATAGGGAGCAGGAGGGAGCAGGGGCAGAATGAGGTGGCAGCAGGCACCAGAAGGGAAAGGCAGCCAGCCAGTTGTGGGCACTGGGGGGGGGGGAGGCACATAATCTGCCAACCATCCTGGCCTATCTGGGTTTTTACTGATATATGCAGCACTAAGCTTGCTGACGTAAGGTCTAACAAACATTCATTAGATGAGAAAAATGTTTCAGATCTATCAAACTGATCTAAATTCATGTAAATGTCCTGCATTATCCAGTTACCTGAAAACATTTTGCAGGGAAACAGTACAGAACCATATATTTTCATCAGAAATGTTGCATTAGACTGCTTTCTTTGGGTTCCTGGATTGTAATGAACAAGTGGGAACTGCAACCAAATGTTGCAATGATCCCTCTTATGTGTGACTACATAAGAATCCACACTTGTAGATGGGTATTAGTATAGAGGATTTCATCATAAAACAATAAAACACTCCATTGTTGGTTTTTGTAGACATGACGTAAGTATTGTAATCTCACAGGCAGGTAACTTTTGTATTAATTTCTTTTTAGAGCTGACAGATGTTTCTGCTTGGCAAAGCAAAGATCCCACACCTGAAGAGGAGAAAGTTGCACTTAAACTGCAGGCTGCCTGGAAAGGGTCTTATGTGCGGTTACTAATGAATGGCAGAAAACCAGGTCAGGATTCTTCTGAGAGAAGTGACAGTTGTGCCCTGACACAGCCCCTAGGGGACGGAGCAGGGCAGCACCTTCCTCCTTTGAAGACAGCCATTTGCTTTGGCTTCAACCAGCCACGGAGGATGATGGTATAGCCCACCAAAACTCTAAGTTGGCTAATGGAGGCCTACATGCAGGGCGGGGTGGGGCTTCAGAAACGGACTGAAGGAACCAAGGCTTCACTCCGGTCCACCACTGAAGTATATAAGTGGGCTGCACTGGGTGCCAGCTCATGTGGTAGATAAGGGTTGACTCTTTAGTCTACTCCCAGCGGGGTGAGATGGTGCATCACCCCGCCTTTTTTATCAGGTGTGATATATGAGGGTACTCCTGTAAAGGGATCTGGATGGAAGATTCTGTCCAGAAGCCCAGATGAGGAGTGGAAAGGACATAGAACTTCCAAATGGCTGCCAAACACAATTTTCCTGACTTTCGGATTGGGGGGCCAGGGCCCAATCTCGACACCTAGAATCTTGAATTATTCACAGAATGCCATAGGAATCACCACAGTGCTTTTATAATGCAGTTGGTCATTATATCATAAAAACTATTTATTTGTGCAAAACATGGCATTGTTGGCTACAAATGTCCTCAGATGATGTCTTTCAGAAGTGTTGGTTAGATAGTCTTTTCAGCTAGACATGCTTTCATTCTGATTACTCTCAGAGCTTTATATTTTACCTTATTTCTTTATGCCAGTGTTTAGGAATGATAACTATGTTGAATATTTACTAATAGCCAAATTTGTTTTTATTTGTCTTTTTATTTTTCAGGTACTAAGGAGAATACTAAAGTCAAAGACACACTTCAAAAGTTGTGGGCTCTAATAGAGCCAAATTTTGAACAATGTTCTTTGACATTTTTGAGGTAATACAAAGTATGGTTTCTGCAGGGTCACATGTTTTGCCTCACAACACCTCCCCCGCCCCCTTATTTTCTCTCATAAAAACTGACCTGACCCTGTGTAAGTGCTATAGGGAAAGTACTGAAGCCCATTTTGGGGCATCCCTATATTTAGTTTTTCAGATGTAAAAGTGAAATTTAAAGAACACCCTTCTTAACCATTGAATCAATTTTTATTCTGCTTTATATTCAGGATAAAAAATCAAGAGACAGACTATGAATTTTACATCAATTTGTTACTGAAGAATTAAATGTAATGTATCTGTCAGGGGTCCTTTACCTTTACCTTTATGTGCAAATTGGCAAATGGGGCAACATCTCTTCTGTTAATTGATCCACATTCACATCTGTATTAAGGAATACCAGATTGCTGTCCCAGATAAATGACTGAACCCTGCATGAATAGATCTACAAATCATGGGCTATAGTCTGACTGAGTAGAGACGGTTGTCTTCAAACTGTGTTAGTTGATAAGGTGGAAGCCAAGTTTCTTAATATTTTTTTTATCATGAGGAAAGGATTATATATTTATAATTTTATTTATTACATTTCTATTCTACCCATAATCCCAAGGATCACAGACTGGATTACAATATAAAAGCACAAAAATACATAACATAGTAGCAAGCAAAAACACCCCCCACCCCAGTTTATAATGGTGTAGATTTGTGGCATCTGAATATAGACTGCATTTTTAATCAAGACTTATATTGGCTTATATCTTGATCAGGTTCCTAAATTAAATGGGCTTAGATTTTCAAATGTTTCATGCCAGCTGCTTAGAGAACCTCGGCAATGTTTTCCTCCTAGACAAGGGGCCCCTTGATTTATAGCAGAAAACAATTCTCAAAGTCGTAAAAAGGGGGGGAATTACAGGCTGAGAGTGAGGACACTGACCCTACATGTTACAGAAGATAAAAAAAGGCAGAGATAAACATAATTAGGAATGAGTAAATAGTAAAATAATACCAATGTGCCTCCCAGTAAAATGAGCCAGATCTTCTTTCCAAAGGTTAAAAGGCCAAGAGCAATGGAGAAGCATCTAGCTGGCAGAAAGAGAGTATTTTTGGGAAGTCTTTTTTAAAAGCTGTTTCTTTCTTAAACTGAGAGAGTTGGAGGGCAATAAATGTTGGGAAGAGCTAATGGGAAAAGCAGCTGGCTGAGGGGGGGGTGTAAACTGAAGAGGCTTCTTTTGAAGCTGTTTTTTACTGAGTTCCTTTTTCTACTTTACAAAGGCCTTATTCCTTTTAAGAGGCTACCTGTGTTGTGTATTAAGTGTATTGGCATAGATGTAATTATGCAAAGGATTTAAGAAATGCTAGATTCTTATTTCATATAGTTGTAAGAGTTGTATTTATCCTGAAATTAAGTCAGCCACCAGCCTAGCCCCCCTGCCGGACAGGAGACGCCATCCAAGCAGTCCTGATATATAGTTGTCAGGCATTTGTTTAGAAACCTTCAAATGAAGGAGATCTTTCAATGTTGATGTGAAACTCAAGATCCTTGACATATGTTTAAGATAAAAATTTAAGATTAACCATTTGTTTTAGAAGGCAATAGGGCAAGGAGGGCAAGAGGTGAGCTGGTAATTAAGATTCCTTGTTGAGACACATGTAAGATATATTACTACTTATTTGTCATTTATAGATGTAACAATATATAGCTCTTTGTGTTCCATATAAGGACAGGAGGATATGGGTGTATCTTTTTGTGATTGGTTATACCAATCAGCCAATAGGAATTTCAACCAGGCTGATTGGACAGAGGCAGCCACAGGAGGAGCAAAGGGGGCTGGATTAAGGGAATATAAGTGCTGGCCATAATGGCAGGAGGCCAGGCCAGAGCTTGGTAACCATATACCACTGTGCCTCTCATTTATTTGTCTAACAAATAAATTATTATTTTAATTTCTCTATTGCTGCGTTGAATATTTCATTCCAGCTAAGCGTTAACCACAAGCAGGGTGCTACAGATTTGCCAGGCGCGTCCCTGGGGGGAGCATTCCACAACTGCAGAGTTTACCACAGAAAAGGCCCATTCCTGTGTTGCCGCCCTCCAGACCTCTCATGGAGGGGGCACACAAAGAAGGGCCTCAGATGATGATTGCAAGGACTGGGTTGGTTCATATGAGGAAAGGAAACGTGCTGTGGTCCTGAGCCATTTAAGGCTTTATAGATTTTACACCGCTCAGTAAGAACAGACTTGTGACTTGAATCCACAAGAGGTTTCTTCTTGCTCACAGATTGAGACACTGCCTCTCCAATGTACACATCTCTTCTGTGTTGACAGCTCAGCTTCAGCCAGCAATAAGGTCTGAAACAGGGTACTGCAGAGGCAGACTAAAGGTAGCCCTTTTGGGCCCGCTGGATCCAAAGTTCCTTTGTTTTCCTGATAGGCCCTGGAATTGGATCCCTAAACTATGCCAGCCTGGAGGTAGCATAATTATTACATTGATACAGAGAAAGTAGTTTTTAAAAGAATGTATAGAATATATTTCTTGTGTCCAGTGATAAAGCTGCATGGTCATATCTTAATTTCCCTTTGAACTTCTGCTACTCCTCAGGGCCACATTAGATGTGATGTGAAAGATTCAGAAATGCAACCCCCGACATCTTATTCTTCTCCAAAAACAGCCACAGAGAGGGAGTAGGGCTAGATTTTGGTCACACTGCTAATCTAAATCCTCCCTCTGGGAACTGCTATTCGTTTCAGACAGTAAAATATATAGAAACAATATGAGTTTCACTTTCCACAGCACACTTTCCTTTCACAGCTAATAGCAGCTGGTGTATGTGCGAATTGGATTGGCTGTGATCCAAAGTGGGGGCGCCACAGCTGGGTTTAGCAGGAAAAAAGATGTTGAAAGATGCATTTGAGCATCTCCCATGCTACTTCTAGTTTGGCCAGCTCTTAAAATATAAAAAGGTAAAGGACCCCTGACAGTTAAGTCCAGTTGCAAACGACTCTGGGGTAGCCAACATGAAATATAGGTCTGGCTAATTAAGCATAAAGCAGAAGGAACAAGGGAGGTCTGGCTTTAAGAGCAAAAAAGGTGTGTAGTGAGGCTTTAAACCTGAGCTTATTGCGGTTTTTGCTCCAGCTGCTTTCACCTCCCAATTAGATTCAAGCTGACAGAGAAGTGAAATCCCAGTTAAACAGAGGTACTCCTCAGATTGGGGTATAGTTCAGCACCCTTCATCCCCATATCCCTTTTGCCCTTTAAATCAGACTCCTACTGTTTATTCTGGTGTGGGGAAGCCATTGGCCTTGCTTGGTGGGGCTGATGGGAGTTGTAGTTTAGCAGCATCTGGAAGGCTTGGTCCCTCGTTTGTGAGATTGAGTAGACCCACACTTAAAGTGTTTGATATGCCTCTGCCACAAGTAATTTGTTGCTTGTTGAAGGCATTTTTTTCATAATACAGTTGCCACTGTTTAATCTTTGGGATGCTTTGGGATCTTATGTATATATAGAGTGGAGGCAGCTTGAAGCTCAGTACTGTTGGTTATGATCTCAATTGATTATTTTATATTCTTCTTGTTGTGTTTCATAGAGATATGTTCAAAAGTAAATGTAAGTCACTTGAAAAATACCGTTGTGCTGAAGATGAGTGGACTAAGACATCTTTTGCTGATTATACTGTAACATATGCGGACCAGCCAGCAAATTTTTGGTTTGTGGTCTTCAGGTGAGGTTTGTTATTGATGAGTCACATACAGACCATCTATATCATATTATAGTTTAACTGCTAATTCTGTTTGTGTGACTGAAAGCCAAGTGACCACATGTTGAAACATTCTTGTACTTGTTCATGAAGGTCATGCTTGAGAAATTCAGTCTTCATTAATTTCAATATGAAATTATCTGATCACCATCTCTAGAACTGACATGTGGATCAAAACTTTGATATTCACTAGATTGCAACCCTTCTTTGAATGTTGTGCAGTCTAGGCAGTTTAAGCATGTCAAAATCTGCCCGTAAATAGGCATTTTAAACGTATTTTTTAAAAAATTAGATTCATGGTGGAAGTGACATGGAAATACAGTGGTACCTGTTTATGAATGATTCAGTTTACGAACTCCGCAAAACCAGAAGCAATGTCCTAGTTTGCGAACTTTACCTCGGTCTAAGAATGGAATCCAAACAGTGGAAGGGCACCAGTGGCAGGAGGCCTCATTAGGGAAAGCGTGCCTTGGTTTAAGAACAGTTTCGGTTTAGGAACGGATTAATTTTGTAAACTGAGGTACCACTGTATGGGTAAAACCTTCAAAAATGGCATGAATTGGAGATAGACAGATCCCCTTATCCTTACTTTACACTTTTCTCCCTTTTATTATAGAGAGGTGTTTTATGTTCCAGAAGATATGATCATAGCAGCAAAGTTTTATTCTTCCATACCTACATGCGCATTGCATGTCGTAGACAATGATACATTAGAAGAAATGCCTCGGATCTTTCTCAGGGTTGCACCCCATCTTTATACAAAGAATAAGGTGATAAATACAAACATCTTCATAGTAATTACAGTACTACTACCTTACTAACAAAATGATACAAAGGACCTTTTACTACACACTGATATAAATAACAATTATTTTCCCCAGGTACTGTGAATGCAACAACACAACCTGTAATTCTTCATAATGTACAAGTCTTGACTATTGTAGGGCCATTTTGGGGTTTACAGTATTGCATCAGCAGCAGCTATAATATTTGCTCTTTATTTACCAGTACGTATTGTATCATATTATGTGTGTTAATAGCTAACAAAATTAACTTTAATTTCAGAGAGGATATACTTTTATGGCTGAAGTTCAAACTGGTGAGTCACCAGTGTTGGCTGGGAAATGGAGGCTTCGACTCATAGGTTCCTACAGTCCCCTTCCAGTTCTTTCTCGTGAGACTATAAACAATGTATATTCCATTAAAGAAGTTAAGGACTATTATGTACCAAATGCTAAGAATATTATATTCAGGTAAAATTGAGGAAACAGCAAAGGTATTTGCATATGTACCCTATTTGAGTGTTCATATGTTACTTTGAGCATATTACTTACTGAAGCATTAATGAGTAGTAATCATAGAATCATAGGATTTTAGAGTTGGAAAGGGACTGTGAGTGTCATTCTAGTCCAACCCCTGCAATGCATGATTATTTTTGTCAAATGTGGGGCTTAAACCCACAAGATTAAGTCTTATGCTCTGGCTAACTGAGCTGTCCCAGTAATGCTTTTGTATCTTTCCCCAAATGCACCACGATGGGCATTTCTAAAATGCTGGGTCAAGACCTGGTCTTTCTGAAAGTCCGACATAAAAGTTGTTTTTCTCTCTCACGTTCATCTCAAGACATTTGCATGATCTAGGAAATAAGGTTTATATTCTAAAAACATGAAGGAGTAAACCACACTGAACTCAGTAGTGACTCACTTCTGTGCAAACATGTATGTGATTGTTCCTAAGGTACTCAGGGCTTTGCACAGGCCTCTTTTTATCATTTGTCTAATGTTTGTTCAGAAAGTTTATTGTAGTCAATCTTGGCATTTTAACTGCAGTTTCATTTTGATAACTGGTTTCCATAGCAGCAAATGGCCTGTTCTAAACATATGTGTTAACTTCCGTCTCAGAGCTTGCTGAGCTGGGGCTAGGCTGCCTTCTTGAATAACATTATTTTAAGGATTGAGATCTTAGACTTGCTGAAAATAATAAAATCTGCCTCAGTTAACTATATACCTTTACTCCTCCTTCAGGTATGCAGTAAAAGTAACAACACCACTTATGGCTACTGTGCAAGTACAGACCTCCAAGCCAGATGTAATCATTAAAGTGCAAGTTCTGGACTCTGAGGAAGAAATGGTGCACTCTGTTGGGAAGGGTCATGCTGTTGTCCCTGCATTTTATTTCATATCTAATGAGCGGCCTCTAAGTAGCATGTGTAAGTATGGTAAACTAATTGCTATGATTATTGTGGACAAAGAGACTGCCAATACATGTACATGTGCACCTGCCTTAATAACGGAGTTAATAATTTGTGGCATACGCTAAGACCTCATTTAAGGATTACTGACTTTGCTTTGTCATGCTTGCTGCTGAGTGATCAGGCTTGCATATTTAGAATCAGTTTCCGGCATATAGACCATCAGACCATGCAGAATGGGTATACCATTCCTTGTCAAGTGAATCAAATTCTGTTTCCCCTCAAATTACCCTACAGTGGTAAGTTAGGTGTTCCAAGAGAGCCATATCTCATATGTTACTACACCACATCTATTTGGGCATTGTCTCTAGAGATTTCCACTAGGGTGCTATTAGGAGTCTCACAGCAGCTAATAGCAGGAATAGCAAAGTCTGATGTGATACTTCCTCATTCTGACTGTTAAGCCTTACTTAGAACTAACAAGCTTCCAATCAAGCAATTATTTTGCCAAGACTAATCGACATTTATAAGCTCCTTATAAACAGTTCTGAGCTGTTTTTCTGGATTAATTATTATTCAGACGTGCATTATTCAAAAGAATAAAGAGCAAAGAGACCAAATTCCATTTTAAAATATGAATTATTCAACTTAAAGGAGTGGGCCATATGGGCCTGCCTGTTCACTGAAATATGATTTGGGAAGTTCTGCCATTATAAATTTAGTGGGTGAAAAACAGTTTGGGCCTTTTTGGTGGTGGTACGTAATTATTACATGCTGTCTTTGAAGAGACTTGGCTCTCTCAATTAGGTGTCAGATGAAGACTTCTTACTTTTTCATTGCACTTTAAATAGGTATTTTATCTAATTTTTATACTGTTTGATATCAGCATTTTGGAAGTTGTGGTTATCTGTATTTTAGTATTATATTAATTATTTTACTATGTTTTAAAATTCCCTGGGAAGGTTTATGAAGGTTGGGATGTAAATCCTTAGAAAGAGTCAGTAGATAAGTAGGTAAAGCAGGAGAAGGAGAGAATTACAGAAGTAGATATAAAATTGAAACTAGTAAGACAAATGACTAAATGCTAAAATACTCTTTAAAATGTTATTGCCTCTTCCAGCAACATCAAGTAAAGGTGGAGTTGCCCAAAGCACTCCCAAAAAGGAACCTGAAGTAGTTGCAGTCTCTAAGAAAAAAGGTACTGTGGCAGCTCAGAAGAATGTCAAGTCTGCAGCCAAGATGTCACAGGAAGGCCCAACTTCAACAGAAGAAGAAACTATTGTTACCCCTGTTCTTGATGAAAATTTATTTCAGCAGGTGAGAGATCTTAAATATATTTGTGGAGGGATTTTGAGAATAATTCCTACTACGTTGCTTCATAGTGTAATAAACATCGTATCCTAAAGTTCCTGTGGAAGGTTGAACAAAGCAGTTCCCCAGCAGTGAACTCTTACGTATCGTGTAAAACAAGAGGATGAAAACAAGGTTCAGGTAATTCAAGATTCCTGCAAAATGTGGGTTTGGAATTAGATGAAAAGGAAGAACAGAACGCTTTGTGCAAAACGGAACAAGGCACCACCAGCAGTGGGGCTATCTTGCCGAGTCGCCACTCTAGCTTGTTAAAATGGTACTTTTGTTCTTCCCAGGGCTACTGAATGGCCAGATGGAGGCACATACTTGTGGTGGCTGTATTCAGGTGTAACACAATACACAAAGCGCAACAAGCTGAATAATAATAACTGTAAACATTTTATTGGTTATTTCCTAATGTAAAGGTCTAGCCCAGTATGTGCAACATATACAGTTCATATGTACGGTATATAACCTATGAGACTAATTACAATATTAATACATTTCTTCTTTACTTATCTTTTCTTATTGTTTCTCCTTGTAAGTTCCTGTATAACACAATCCTTAGGTGAAAATAGAAAAGTCCTCAAGGTAATAAGAACAACACAGCTAATGTAGGCTGCTGACACTAGCTGGCTGGTGCAGCTGCAAACTGCTAATTTGGGCAGAACAAGGTTTCCGGATATCTCCCTTGTTTCACCCTGAAGGGCTTCCTCAGCTGATATTAAATCTATACAATATAAATAAACACATGGTAATACAATATTTGGTATCCAAGGTACATGTTCATATTATAATGTATTGATGCTTGTGTTTGTAATAAGCTGCAGGTTGTTTGGAGACCTCTGTGTAAAAAGCGACTAACAACTCGAATATATAAGAATATGTGCAAGTTTACCTGTAACAGAGAGGGCAGCTTTTTGTATGTCATGGTTTGCTTCCTCTCTTGTGCTGACCCATGCCTTTGCTGGGCACAGTCACCTGCAGAGCGAACCTGTAGGAAACAAGGAGTTAAGGGACATGCTCAAGTTGTCAAAGAGGCAGCCCAGTAATGCCTTGGGGTGTGCTCTGTCTTTCCTTGCAGGCAGCAATAGGGCACCAAACCCGCTCTTTCTCTTCTGCTCCTCCAAACCAAGCCCCCTTGTCTGGGGCATAAAGTTGGGCAAACCCCATCATGGTATTTCTTGCCACTTTTACCCATGATCCCATTCCATTTCTGCATTAATTTGTGCATTTCTAAAAATTAGTCTAAAAGTCCTTTCAAAATACATATTTAAGTGCATATTTTGATACTAAACAGCCTAGAACTGAATCTTAGCATCCAGAGAAGTGAAAGAACTGGTGGCTAGTTAAGTTTCAACCTGCATTTCAGTCTGAGAGGTTTAGATCAGGTTGTTTTGTACATGAATTCAACACATTCAGATTCTTCAAGCACCTTATTTGACCCTTCTTTCCTTCCCTACAGAAATCCAAGATAGCAGTCAAGGGGGTGATGGCTAAAAGCAAGGTTTTTTAAAATATTAAAATAAGAAGCTGTTATTATTTCTGAAAAAAGTAATTTACTGCATTTGGCTTTTACAGCCTCACAAGTATATTATACAAGCCTCCGTGTTGCATAATAGTTGGCCACTTACTGAGAACCAATTGGTATTTGTTCAGGCACTGAGAGAACTGGAAAAAAATGAAATCAAAGGTGAGTGAGTGACTTTGCTACATGCTTATTTTTTTATTGAAATGCGTCATAACTGAAACACCAATTTCTTTGATTTCAGTTAGCTAATTATGTAACTTACATTTAACAGAATTGTATGAGAACTTACAAATAGCAAATTATTTCTGATAAATGCCTTTAATACCACCCTGAGAATGTTTTTACTGAATGGTAGCACAAAACTTTATCAAATAGAGAGAGGGAGGTCAAACCAGAAAAAATCAATTATACTCAAGTCCATTAAAACTATGGTGCTTACGTCTCAGGGCAATCCTATGCATTTTTACTCTGAAATATGTGCCATGAATTTCAATGGGACATTCTTCCTAGTAGGTGGTTTTAGGAATTCAATAAGTCTGGAGTGCAAATTTCTCTGGGAGTAGCTTTTTTCTTCTTTAGTATGCTAGTGTACCTTATTACCTCTCTTACAACAGTGTACTGAAATGAACAAATATGAACATTCAATTGAAGATGAACTGTTGCTCTGATACTACGAGAATGATGTCACAATTTATTTATTTATTAGGTCTTATTTTTCCAACTTCTACTTTGGAGTGCCATTTGTTTTGAATTATGCCCCGAAATGATAACTTTTTTACCATCCTTTATAATGATTGAAATAGTTATGCATGTCAAAGGATATGAAACTGGGTTTTTTTAGGTGGTGATGGTTCTATCCAGGGCTGAGTGTGGCCAGCCCTATTTCCCTTGTGGCTGAAGCTATTGGAAGAAGCTGTTGCCTGTGCTTTTTATTTATTTATTTTTTAATTTTCTGTGTACGATGGACTATGTGTTCCACCTGGGTCTGTGTGGGATCAGCTGGCCAGCCCACCTTCTTTGTGACTGGCTGTTCTTAAGACCACTCACTATTATCCAACTAACTGTTCTTAAGATCTAAGTTGTTGTTGTTGTTTAGTTGTTTAATTGTGTCCGACTCTTCGTGACCCCATGGACCAGAGCACGCCAGGCACTCCTGTCTTCCACTGCCTCCCACAGTTTGGTCAAACTCATGCTGGTAGCTTCGAGAACACTATCCAACCATCTCGTCCTCTGTTGTCCCCTTCTCCTTGTGCCCTCCATCTTTCCCAACATCGGGGTCTTTTCCAGGGAGTCTTCTCTTCTCATGAGGTGGCCAAAGTATTGGAGCCTCAGCTTCAGGATCTGTCCTTCCAGTGAGCACTCAGGGCTGATTTCCTTAAGAATGGATAGGTTTGATCTTCTTGCAGTCCATGGGACTCTCAAGAGTCTCCTCCAGCACCATAATTCAAAAGCATCAATTCTTTGGCGGTCAGCCTTCTTTATGGTCCAGCTCTCACTTCCACACATCACTACTGGGAAAACCATAGCTTTAACTATACGGACCTTGGTTGGCAAGGTGACGTCTCTGCTTTTTAAGATGCTGTCTAGGTTTGTCATTGCTTTTCTCCCAAGAAGATCTAAGTTACTTTTAATTATTTTTCATTCAAAGATGCTGATACAGTCGTGCATCAAAAGAACATGTCACTTGATAATTTCCAGAAAACGCTATTGTGTAAATGGAAAAATAGAAAACCACTTCTATAAGCTTTCATCTCTCATCCTCATATTTCATAATGTAAGACAACAGTGCCATCTAGGGTAGATTTTAGTGTCCAAATTAAGTAGCTAGGACAGAACATTTTACTTTTAAAGTGAAATTTACATCAGTTTGTCATAAATAAGGGAGATTGCATAATTTTTAAGACCTGTTTCCTAAAAGTAAACTCTTTGGTAACAAACAATTATGTAGCTCCAGAAGCATAAATGGAAAGCATAAATAAACACTACAATGAAATTTACACAGCACGTCCTACTGAAAAACATGAAGAAAGTGTAAGTGTCCTAAGTCCAGACATTCACAGCAACATGGAAGGGCAAAAATCTGCAGGCTCTTCCAAAGGAGGTCGAAAAGTGAAGGAGAAAACAACTGAGAAGGCAGAAAAAGCTGCTAAAGAAAAACCCGTAACTGTTGTTAGGCCCGAATCACAGGTAATAATAAATAAATGAGTTCATAAAGTGAATTTTCAAATGATCTGAATGATGTTGTATAGGGTAAATTTCTTCTTTATTTTTCCAGGTGTGAAGGGGAAAGTAGTAAAAAAAATATATGTAATATGTTCACTCTCTAGTAACCTCCCTCTTAGTGCTATGGCTGAAACACACACTGTATTGTGCTATATTTCAGCTCTGCCTGGGTGGGCAGCTGCCTTGAGATCCTGTATAATTGAATGGAATGCAAATTGAATTGAATTCAAATTCTATTTGAATTTGCTGAAGCAATGAAATATTAATATCACAATTTGCATCACTAATATCATAGTTGTGACAACTGAGAGGTTTCACAACTGGTTCTGCCCCTCATACACATTTCATTCACATCTTCCACTATCATAATTATCATCGTCTTTATTTTAATGACCCTTTATTTAATGACCCTTAATATTTTTTGATTCCCCTTCCTCTACACCTCCACTTGAGGGTGGAAATACAGTGCCACACTTTTTAGGGTGTTCTCTTCTGTCTATCTACTTGGATCAACTCAAGTGGCCTCTCTTGTTTATTTTCATTAACTTGTGTCCATCCACATTTCTTCATTTTACATGGTGATGGCCTAGATAAGCCAAGTAATACTAATTATCCACAAGAGCCCCCTAGGCAACTTGATATCTTAGCTATGGCAAATAACAACGATCGTCAAGCATTTGTAAATGGAAAAAGAGTCGTCGTCCCCCCCCCTCCTTTCAAGCCATTGATGTGCTGCAAATGATTAGCGCCCATGATAAACATAGTGCTACTCGAAGACTTCTCATAGTTTGGGTAGCAGAATCACATGCTCTCTTTCCTCCCCAGCAATTACCCCATTTGTACAAATTTCTCTTGGCAGTCATATGCTAGCCATGAATAGGGGCATTCCTGAACCGCAGTTTAGAAACCAGGTTTTAAAAAACTCCCATTGGGGTTCACTTCAAATCCAGCCCTCCACTGACCCATTACTGCTCCTGTCTGCTAAAGAAGATATTGACTGAAAGCAGCCTTTGCTGCATGTGTGGGGGAAACAGACTAGTTTTGGGGATGGTAACTCTTGCGGGTTCCCTTGCAAAGTTGAGCACACATACGTCAAATGAGACCAGAGGGTGGCATTTGGCATTCTTTGACAATAACAGTCTATCACGGACAGTGCTTCTTGATAATGAATTGGCTCTTTCATTCATTTGAGAGTTTCAAAGCAATATGTGCTCTTCTGATTTTGCTTTGTGCATTTCATTTCCAGCAATCTGATCCTAACAAACCCTCCTGGATCTTACGTCTAGTCGTTGAACAAAATGAAATAGAAGCACTGGATTTGAGGAAAGACACTGAGAGAGCAGATGAGATCAAAGCTATGAAGCAAGCATGGGAGGCTGCGGAGCCAGGGAGAGCTGTTAAGGTAACCAGGGCTTATCATTTTACACATGCATTTAAAATGAGTTCCAAGATTCAGCAGGGTAGTGTGGAAATGCCAACCAAAAAGTCAAATCCCTGCAGAGATTTTTCAGTATCAAACTCCTGTTTGAAGAGTGAGTGCTGAGGCTGAACTGAGAGATTGATTTGAATAAATCAAGGTAGGCAGCTAGGCAGTGAAAGCCCTGAATTTTCATCTATGCTTTACAGTGCTGGCTGGTAACATTCTGACTTGGTTATGGCTGCAATTTTTAACATTGCTGTTTTCATCACAGTAGCCAACATGAGGTGGCTTACAATGGGTGCAATTAAATTTTGTGCCAAAGCAATTGCCCTCTCAGCAGAAGTGTTTCTGCTTGCCCACATGTGCCAGCTTCTGAATAAGATTTTTTTTTTGGGGGGGGGTGCACAGTGCATGTGATGTCAGGATGTCAGAGGAGCTGGGGCAGATCTCAGCACAGTGGCAGCACAGTGGCAGCACAGCTTCAGTGGCTGTGGCTTCTCCTGCTGCTGCCGCCACCAGCCTGGGCCTGTTTCCAGCCTCTTTCCCCTCCACAGCAGGAGGAGGAAGAGGAGAAGGAGCCATGGCTATTGAGGCCACACTGTGCTCGGCTCCATGCTTTGGACTTGGGGGGGGGGTGTTCAGCCCCTAGGAGATGGCACCCCTGTGCTTTCCAGACAGAAGGATTTCCCACCCCTCTGACTTTTCTAGGGGTTCTCCTGATCCTCCCAAGCTGATTTGGGAAGAGTGGGGAGCAAGGGAGTCCTACAGTGGGACTCATTACTCATTGCACTGGATTCTGCTAGCACAACAACTTAGTTTAATTCAGCCTAATATGTTTAAAAGACAATACCAGTCACTGTTGGACTCAGAATGCTGCATTAGATGGGCCTTTGATCCATTCCAGCAGGGCATATTTTATGTTAATAACTGAGCATCAACATGACTGCAAAAACAAAACAAGGTGTTTTTTCTTTTATAAGCATTAATCATCTCCTCTTTTCAGTTGCTTTTAAAAATATTGTGCTTTATTCAGTGCATTTTCCATGTACCCAGTTGTTTTTGTTTTTTAACAGCTAGTAGTCAAACAGCTTAAAATTGCATAATTTAAGGAGAAAATATTGATTTTTTTTGTTTCTGTTCCTGTCACTCCAAGCACTGCAGTTGAATGTTGTGGCATGAGTCATTTACCCATGTGTGTGCTTTAATTCAGTGACTCATCATTCAGTTGTCAGCCAGACCTCCGTCACTTATTAAAATAATTAAGCCACTCGGCTCAAAATTTAAATGATACTTTCTCTTGGTGTGCAATGATAACATGCTACTGTTGTACAGCCAGACCAAATCTGAAGAGATTGTTGTTTCGCATGCCACTGCAATTACATGCATGTGCCTATGTTGCTATGGTAACATCATAGGCAATACAGGAAGCTGTCTTATGCCATGTCAGGCTTTTTGACTATCTATCTGTTGCTTGCCCTAACATTGACTATGCCTGGTATATTGTGTCCATCTTACCAGCAGTGGCTCTATTATGGGGCAATGGGCAAAGGATTGGGTGAGAAAATGCAAGCTTATTTCTTTGTTTTTGTTCTCTAAGATACTATTCAGCTCAAACACAAACTAGTGGTCAGACAGGGGAGAAGTGGGCATGTAGGAGACAGCCAATGATTTAGACTTTCCTGTCTTTCTTAGAAATGTATTCATATAAGTGCCTCACATGAAGTAGATGTGGTAGTAGATGCAGGGCCGTCTTTACCCGTGGTGTGGGGCACTCGGGCGCTGAATTCTGGGGGGTGACAAATGTGTACCTACTGCTGTACACCGGTCCCTCTTGATTGGCGGCAATGAAAAGCAATGGAGTGAAAGTCCCCGCCCCACTCCTCTGTTGCTCTGCTACCCTGTAGCATCAAATATTCTTGATGAGTTAGGAAACAAAAGCAGCTTTTTCCACTGTGTTGTTGTTACAGGTGAGTGATTTGCCCTTCCCAAAAAAGCTCAATAAAAGTTAATTTGGGGGCAGCTAAACTAAATTTTGGGGCACTGGGCAGCACAGATGCTAAAGACCGCCCTGAGTAGATGTGTCTCCTAACATAACCAGTGAAGTGTCAAATCCTGGCTTTCTGTAGCATGCCTTTTAGTTTCTTTCTCCATACAAAGTCAGACACAATAGTTGAAAGAAGACAAGCACCCATCACCTACTCATTGGACCTGCCTCCCCTAATTTTGAACTGTGTATTTAGCTACTCCCTGCCAGCTTGCCTCTGGTTTTGGATTCTGCTCCACTGCTCTCCTGTCTGAGAAGCCGGATCCTCCCCCATCCCATCTGGATGACAATTATTGAGATCATTTCTCTAATTGTGACACATTCTTTGTTGTTGAAAATTTGTGCCTCCAAAAAGAGGTAATCTCCTTTCCCCGAGTTCAACTTATTTGAAGGGGGAAGGAAATAATAGCTTTCCAGATTACTTTAAGAAAAATGGCATGAGTGGAAGAAAGGGAGTGACCACCTACTCATTCTCCATCACAGACAACAAGGTTGTGGATGACCTTGCTTTGTATTGCCTGGCTTTTTGTAGATCTGCCTCAAGGACTGTTTTGTCAGTCATCTCAAAATTATAAAATATAGGGGAGCATTCCTGCCTGGCAACCTTTTCCTGGAGACTGTCATCCACGAAAAGACCTCCTGTTGGCAGGATTTGATTTGGAGCAAACAGGCATTCCAAGGCTACAGTGTGTTAATTTGGACTCACATTATTGCAATAAACATCAATATTATGTGGGAAAGGAAGGGAGGGTTAAAAATTGCTTCACCAGTTGTCGCTGTATAGAAGAACCCTATTTCCCGATGTCCCAAGTCTGTTTGCAATGCCAACCCAACAACAAACAGGCCAGGCCAATCTTGTGTGTTTACATGTGAACTGGGAATCATAAACAAGATGTTGGCTTTGGAAGCATCTTCTAAACAGACTTGAGGGTGGGACAACTATTATAATTGCTTTTAGATATCCGTGCTAGATACATGTTGGTATTGATAAAACCAAGAGGCTTTAAATCCATGTTGATAGCCAGTGCTTACCAGTACATGGATGCATAGAATTTTTATGATCATATTAAGCTTTTAGCCTAAAATTCTGGCTTTTGCATCTATAAAATTCATGAATTATTGAATATATCTTTTGCCAGTGCTAAAAATGTTCCTATATAAAAATGGCTTGATAATTAATATAGCATGCAGTACTTCAAATATTTGCAATAAAACTCTCTTTGCAGGCTGTTCAGGAGCGCATGCAGTTTATTAATAAATGTGCGCGGAAAGGTTTTGTTGCGTCTGAGGCCGACAGTGTCAGCACTAGAGTGAGTCCAGGAGAAACAGGTATGTGTATGCCTACATAAATAGGGTTGCCATATTTTGAAGAGCAAAAAAGAGGATGCTATGATGGCTATAACAGCCATTCAAAGCAAATAAATGCAATTTATCTCAAATTTTACCGCTGAAAGGTGTCCTGGAAAAAGAGGACACATGGCAACCCTAAAATAATACAAGCTTTCTTACCTATGAAAACCTTGAAGAAACTGTTTTCAGGTGTAGGATTTGTGGAATGAAAAAGTAATTTCTGTCTGCCATAAAATGGGTGTCATTACCAACCAGGCTGTGTTGGTAATAGGCAAAATATTCTTTACTTCTATCATATGCTGCATTTCAAGTCACTTCTGAATATACCTTGCTTTTGGAATGCATGTTAGCAAAAATACTGCAGTCCAAACTATTATTATTTTTTATTATTTATTAAATTTGTATACCGCCTTATACCTGTAGATTTCAGGGTGGTTCACAACATAAACAACCATGCTGCACAGGCCCCTGATCCAAGTCAGGGGCAGCAGCTTGGAGGAAGGATGTTTCCCTCGCTATGTGTTATGTACTGAGTTGAATAGGATCCAAAAGGCAGCAGTCTGATTGGTCCTAGAACAATAGGATCCAAAAGGCAGCAGTCTGATTGGTCCTAGAACAATAGGATTCAGAATGCAGCAGTCTGATTGGTCCTAGAACAATGCAGCAGTATGATTGGTTGGCAGGAACTACCCAATCATGCTCCAGATAGAAGTGAATCCACAACCTGATTGGCTTACAGTAGAATTCCGGAATTAGCCAATCATGTGCAGCCCATTGTGTAAATAATGTATATAAAGCAGATACTTTGAGGGGACATTCATGCATTCCTCCTCACCACTATGAGCTGAATAAAGAGCATGAAATCACTTTGCGACTCTGAGTATATTTCACTATGTTTTCCTAGTGAAAATCCTCCTGGCAGTCTGACATTTGGCCCAGGAGGGAGGCTGCTCTTTGTGTCTATATCAACCCCCCGCCCCCGGGAGCTTCACTGGCCATTTTTGTTGGGAGAACAGCATGGAAGGAAGGATTAACATCCACTGTGTGACTCCCAGTCAGAAGGCCTAATGGCTCTTGTATATACACACATATTTAATCAGGCACTTAAGATATCTGTCTTTCTGTCAATTGCATTTGTATCATTTGTATATTACTCATACAACTAAGTTCTCTGGGCAGTTTACATAAAATACAAAATATAATTCACAGTTGAAACACTTACACTGAAATAACATAAGCTACAAAAACAAAAAAAGCTGAGCAAAAAAGCAACTAAAGCAAGCAGAAACCTAGAATTTAAAATAGTTAACACTAGCTTAAAATCCCTTGCACAAAAGCTGAAGCACTCAATGGGTTGTAATTATAAAAACAAGGAGGTCTTCTTTTGGTGTCATAAACACCATAGTGAAGTGCCAGGCAAGCTTTTGGGGGGCGGGGGAGACATTCCATAAATGGGGAGATACCACCACCTTTCCTTCGTAGCTGTTTTTTCTCACTTAATTAGGTAGAAAACCTGGAGGAGGGCTTCCAAGGAAGTTGCAAGGTCTGGCCAGATATGTATGGGGGCTGGTGAACTGTCAGGTAACCCAGCCCTAAGTCATTTTAGGGCTTTAGAGGTTAAACCCAGCACTTTGTATTGGTCCCAGAAACATAGCTGTCAACGTTTTCCTTTTTTTAAGGGAAATTCCCTTATTCCAAATAGGATTCCTTGCAAGAAAAGGGATAAGTTGACAGCTATGCCCAGAAATGGAGTGGAAGCCAGCTAATTAAGTCTGTAGCCTAGTGATTGGAAGGATATAGGAAATATGGCACAAGGAGAAAGGTTCACACCTTGCTGTGCAACCAGGGATCTCATACATAGACAGACATGGTCTGGAGGTGCAGTTTCATTCAGATGGGTAAAAAAATGCTAACTTTGACAGTACTGACAATATGTTACTATAGACTGGGATAGAGCCCAAGCTCTTCTACCAGGCAGCAGTTCGGTTTGGGTAAAGGTGACTTCACTGGCCATCTGATCATCATGTCACTTTGCAAATATACACGCTGGTGCATATTTATATCTTTGGATCAGGTCAATATATAACTATCATGTATTCATAGTCTGGGATAATTTGGTACTAAAGTTTTGACCAGTTTCTTTTTTCTGGTCAGGGACTGCTTCTCCCGTTTCTGAACTAGTGGTGTCCCCCGCTGGAGTAGTTGCTGAAACGCAGCGGAAGGAATTCGCTTTAGACCTCTCTCCCTATATTAGGTAAATTGCAGCAAGTGTTTAAAGTTTGGTTACAACATATATATTTTTTAATGTGTAAAAGTTAAGAAATGTAGGGTTGCCGTATTTCAAACAGTGACGGAAAAGTTGTTGAGCTTTTCGGTTTGGTTTTGCAAAAAAATGACTTTGATGGAAGTTTGGCAAAATTGACACCACCAGCGTGGGTTGCCATGCATCCCGGACATTTTGCCGATTTCCACCTGGACACTGTTGCCAAATGCAGTATTCCATATATGGCCAGGAAATTCCAGAAATATGGCAACCCTAAGAAATATTTTAAAGTACTCATCTAGCTCCTATGGTTAGTTGTATCCCATGAAGTTATCCCATTAGCACAAGAACTCCCACTTGTGTGACGGCACTTCCCCTCTAGAGGGTTGAGAACACAACATGCAATTGAAAAGTTCATTCCGCTCAATCAAAAGTCCTTTTGCGAAAAGGATGGCTTCCTCGGATACAGACCTTTATACGCCTTTATATTTAGCAGTACACCGTGTTGTCTCATTTGTGCCTAGTCCCATTGTCTAAGCATGTCCTGCTCCCAAAGCTATGGAGATGGAGTGGATCTGGATCTGAGCGCTCTGAAATCAATTCTAACTAAGCAGCACATCAAAGGGAACTGTTTAATCTCTGCTTTACCTACAGAAAAACATTACCTGAACCTGTCTTGAAAAATGAAGCTATTATTCAAGAGCAAGAGATGCGTAAGGCAGAAGAAATAAATCATTTTAGACAATTTCGAGAGATGGTTGGAGAACACAGAGGGCAAGAACACACGGCTAGGAATCGGTTGAAGCAAAATGTACTTGATATGTATGACAATCTTCAGGTAAGTATGCATAATTCTGCTAATCATTTGAATAAATGTATTTCTTATTTATTTATTTATTTATTTATTTATTTATTCATTTATGCATGCTTACCTGTTATGTTTTTGCTCAGTTCATATTTTTCCTGATTTCCTTTCACTTCCTTTTCTTTCTTTTTTATCATCAATCCAAATTTGGCATGCTGAGGAGGGAGAGGAAGTACAACATGCAGTTATAGTGACTAGAAATTGCAATAGCATGATCCTGTGCATGTTTACTCAGAGAAGTCCTGCTGGGTTCAATGGGGCTTGCTCCCTAGGCAGCTTCTTTAGTATTGCTACTTATAGTTATGTATGAACAAGCAGTCCCTAGACACACATATTTAAAAAACCTTCAGTATAATACATCTGTGTGGTCATTAGAAAAATAAAAACTTTGTGAGAAAATATACATGAGCTCTAGGTAACTAAAATATTCATAAAAGTTGTGCAACCCACAGTATTGAAGAGATAATACTTAGGATTTTTTATTACAGTACCTTCTATGCTACTACAGACTTCTGGGAAATAACATCTTGTAATAATTTGAAAATCAAACAAATTGCATACACATTTGATGCGTTTTATACTTTAGAACATTTGTTGCGCTTTAACATTATTGTAACAAGATGCAGAATTTTTCCATAGGTAGAAAAGGCCTGGTGTCAGATAATAAGTAAGGAATTTGTTGTGCAATTTTCTTAGTTGTGAAGTAAGCGTTACAGAGTTTTAGAACACTGAAATCTGCTCAAAATATTTGGTTGTTGTTTTAGGTATACACCCAAGATATATAAGTATACACTTGAAAAGGTAAATGATAGTTTCTCCCATTTGATATAATTAAACAAAACTGACAATTAAGCCATGTAATTGAGAAAAGGAAAGGACCCACATATTTACGGAATGGAATAAATGAAGTACTTAAAATATTACTAGAGAGGCACTAGATTTATTATATACCTAAAGGTTTATTTTTGAATAGAGTGGATGTGTTTGTCTTTGGATAGGCATCCTTAGATGAAGCACGAGGCAGGGTGCTCAGCGTCCGGGAAGCATACAGAGCTAAGCTATTAGAAGCTGAGCGCTTAAGATTAGAAGCACTAGCAGCTGAAGAAGCCGCTCTTCGAGCAGAGCAAGAAAAGAAAACCCCAGATGTGCAGAAGAAGAAAAAGGGAGGAGGAAAAGGAGGAAAAGGAGGGAAGAAAAAGTAAATTTGCTTGAAATAGAAGCTGGGTAAACCTCCTTACTGGTCAGAAAAGAGCACCAGTTTTTGCAGTATTTTGGAATGCAATTCTATCTTTTTTCCTAGTGTTATTTTTGAAATCCATTTATAATCTTTAAATGATATTGATTTTAAAATTGATTTTATAATTGTAATTGTATGCCATTACTTTGGCATTATATTTTTATGCTTTAATTGCAATAAATGTTTGCAACAAAATTACCAATATGCATTTCAGTATTGTCAGACAGTTTTTAGAATAAACGAACATCTAAACCAAGGAAGTCTTGTGGAATGGAGTGGAGAGTTACCTTGGTACCATCCTCAACTATTCTGCTGGGTGAAGAGGTGGTGATACAAGTAAAAAAAATCCTGAAAAAGAAATTTCTGTGCAAACTTGACCACGTGCCTGCTTCTGATTGCCATTTTGCTATATATTTATGGATTTTATGAAGTGCAATAACAGCTCTAGAACCCCTTGTTGTAGAAGTAACTATTGGGGGAGGGGGAAAGGATATATGAATCTAGACACACAAACTACAAAGTACATAACACAGCAGAGGAACGCTAAAATATTCTTAGGAATCTCAATATTAGTATTTTGGGCTGTCTTTGTTCTTTACCTTTTCTAGTGAAGAGAGAGAGTTTGTGAAAGGTTATGCCTAGCATTACAAAAAAATGACAAAAGATAAGGATGCCTCATTCTCATGTGTGATAACTAAAGGAATGTTTACAAATTATGCTCGGAACATTGTTCAATGATATATTTTTATCAACTTACTTTCAATTCTCAAGGAGCTAGTTTCATCACATGACCTATCATTTTTCATTCTTGTTTACTTCTTTAGCAACTGAGAGTATTGTTCTGAGATTAGCTTGAACAAATGCTCTGCAAAATCCTGACATTTAAATTATAAGGATGGCAAGATAAATAATTTTGCTTGGTAGAAATGCAGCAGACTAATCTGTGAATCCAATTTCCTTTAATGACACAGGTATTAGATCCCAGAACCTTTCTCACACTACCAGGCATTGCTTATTGGCAGTGTGTCCTAGCCCACATAGGCGTGCGCTGACTAATCTCATCCTGTGGCATTGCATCTGCACTGGCCTTTGTTTTGTCCAGCTGGAAGATGTTTCTCCCATAAGCACCCTAGCTGGATGATGAATAGAAAGAAAAGGAAGCAACAAAATACTTTTTGTCCAGGAAAACACTCCATTCTATTACTCCAAGTAGGAAAATTTGTTGCTTAGAAATAAATACTGGGAGATTGGCAATCATAGGTGGTGAGTGTTTTGCAGGCTGGGATGGTAAATAACTTCTGAAATTGGGTTGGCTCGGGAAAGAAGCTAAGGTATTTCAATTCTGTAAAGTAGTTTGACTACCGTAATTTTCCAAGTCAGTCTGATGTTGGCTGATGGGAAATCGCCCATCACTACTCAGCACTCACTTTCCTGAAAAGTCTTTACTGAAATTCACCTTATAGCTCCTCTGCTACATCCTCTCTGTCACCAGTGTATTTCTCAAAGTTAATACCTTATTTGCCATCCCTATTTTCTCCATCCGTCCTCTGTGAATGGCCGCATGTGAAAGCCAAGGAAGTCTTCCCCCATGCACACAATAGCAATACCATTTGCACAAGCACTGCATATTTGTCAAGCATCTTTTTCAAGACTTTAGAGAAGTTCTGTGGCAACAATATTGAGGCTGGTGCATTGCTTGCCTGTAATCTCTCTTCTCTAATCAGCAGTAACTGTTGTGTTTTAAGCTAAGGGCCAAAGTCCAGCTCTAAGGTTCAACAACATTATCAGCACAGATAATCTGATTTTAAGCAGCTGCTTGTGAATTGAGAATTCTAGTACTCTCCTGGCCTTTGATAGTTGTGTGTAGCAGTCCTGTAACTACACCAAGCCCCTATTTTTTTACTCATGTTCTACTGATGGAGGCTGGGCCCCATAGTACTTATCATTTTCTCCTTTTGATTGCTTGCTTGCTTGCTTGCTTGTGGTGTTTCAAAGGAGGTCAGGGGTGATTAACATGGCTTCTCCCTCACTACCCTTCTAATACATCACGTTTGCATTCTGAACCAACACTATGGAATCTTGGTACTTAATAAATATTAACTAGTAGCAGTAGCAAGAGTGTTGTGAAACCCTTGCTTCCTGCAGCATTACTGTGGTATCTTGGTTCTCGAATGGCTTGGCCCCCGAACATATCGGGTCCCGAACGCCGCAAACCCGGAAGTAAGTGTTCCGGTTTGCAAACGTTTTTTGGAAGCTGAACATCCAACGTGGCTTCCGCAGCTTCCAATTGAGTGCAGGAAGCTCCTGCAGCCAATTGGAAGCCGCGCCTTGGTTTTTCGAACGGTTCCGGGAGTCGAATAGACTCCCGGAACAGATAAAGTTTGACAACCAAGGTACAGGGTTGTATAGGGATAGCTCAGTCAGTAGAGCACGAGACTCTTAATCTCAATGTCATGCCTTCAAGTCCCACACTGGGTGAAAGAGTCCTGTACTGCAGGGGTTGGAATAGATTAGGTTTGCCTTACGTCCAGGAAATCCCAGACATGTCCTCTTTTGGGGGGCCTACACACCCATCTGGGGGATGTTTATATTTATAGCAAATGTCTGGGTTTTGGGGGGTTCAGTTTTGGGGGGGTGCAGGCAGCTCAGGCATGGGTGGCTCAGGCTGCTTTGCATGCCGTGGCAGCCCGAGCCGGGGAGAGAAATGCATGGCAGCCCCACACACCCGCGCATCCGCCTGCCTCTTTCCCTGGCATGGGCTAGCAGGGCTGTGCTCTTTTTTGCTCTTCAAGATGTGACAACCCTAGACTAGATGATCCTCATGATCCCTTCCAACACTGTAATTCAACTTCAAGCACATTGAGTAATGATGCTAGACTCTGAATGGGAAGAGAAGGACTAAAAATGTGATTCTCTTTGACAGGCATGCATGCACACACACACTTGAAAAGTCTGACCTTATTTGTTTCAGGTGTAGTTCCTTTTGACCTGGCCCTGACTTAAGGTGCGATTTGAACCCTGTGCCCACCACCATCCAATTACTCCTGAACATTTGCATGCTGGGGATGGGGGGAGTAATGGGGATCAGAGAGGTCTCACTTTCATGTTGGAGAGATGCTGCAAGGCCTCTTGTTTAATGGGAAATAGCACCTGTGTAGAGCTTGCAGCTTTTGTAGTTATATGTTCCATAATGTCTGGCAGGAGGTGACGCTCCATTCACCATTTCCAACTAAGGGGAGGCCTTGCAGGGCCTCCATTGATCATTTTTCTTAGTTTTTATTTGTATTTTGAATTGCTTTCAGTTGTACGCTATGTAATTCTGTTTCATTCACCTTTGTATATTTTGTTTACTTATTTTTTGTTGCTTCTCTCCCTTGTTATCTATTTGTGTTAAATGTGTGATATGTAAAGGCTGCAACATTCATTGAATTAGCCTAATAAATTAATCAATTTAGAACATTTCGCTTGACTAAAGGTGCCTCTAATTAATCAGGCCACAGGTTGTTTCTTTATAAAAAAAAGTATTTTTAATGCACACAGTTATAAAAACCGCAGTGTGTCTGTTTAGAAAGGAGGCACGCCTTTTCTACCATGCAGCAACTTTTTTGCTCCTGTCTAAAAGTAAGACTTTTACAAGCACAATTGTATTATCATATGCAAATTTATGCACAAAAGTATTGACTAAATCTTACAGGATTAATCAACTACATTTTTTATTGAATGGCAGCCCTAGTAATAAGATTATGAGAAATAAAGTGATTTTTAATAAATGTAGAAATTGCTTTTTCTTATTACTCATGACAGATATGAGTCTTACAAAAACCTGAGGAGTAAGGGTGGTCACTCTAGGCTGATACGGTCAGAGTTGTGGTCTCAGGAAACTGCTTCCCTTCACAGATGCACAAAGCTCAGTGTCTTACAGGTGTGCCAACTTGAATAAAATATTGAGGTGCCTAGGTAAGCCCTACCCCACATAAGCAATCACATCACATGGTGCACACACACCGTTTAAATGGCAAGGCCCATCAACTTTGGGAGCCCCTGGCCCCCACAAATATTTTATTGGAGGGGGCATAGACCCCCTCGGCCCCTAGAAGTTGGCTCCTATCTTACCATACTTTTAAGTACAAACCTGTAGAAGCACAACTATGCAGAGACCCAGTGTCACTATCATTACACAACAGAACAGTCGGTAGTTACAGGTTGGCAAGAGGGTGTTCATGAAAACACCCCTTGCATATTGAGGAGAAAGTGGGATTGTGCTGGCTGAGCCATGCCTCTCTGATGGTTGCGAGTTCAGGCTCAGTGGTAATGGGCCCTGCATGTGTAAGGATGTACAGGCGTATGGCTCCTCCAAATGATGGGAAATTTTGATTGGCACGGGACTTCCAGGAGTCCATAGAGGAATGCTGAGTTTATAATGCCCACTAAGGCTGAGCTTACGACCATGGGCTGCAGGGAGGGCATATCTGGCCGATGCAAAGGGCCATGGCTAGGTGATGCAATTCTCATGTCCCCTCATATTGTGGAAAGGGGTTGTGTGTATTCGCTCCCCAAATACTGTAAGTATAAGCAAGGAACCATGCAACATTAATCCAGGTTGTGTCAGGCTTAATTTAAATAAATGTGCTTATTCTTTTTAAGAAAAATAGGAAATACAGATCAACAATGGATGCTAGAGGTGCCTTTCAGAGAAAAAAGAAGCTAAAAAGAAAATATCAAACTAAGGAAGACCAGACCACTATCCATGCTGAGCTAAGAAAAAGAAGAGCAAAACCCACGGTTGAAGCATGTACAGACCACCGCACCTACTGACTTTAGAAGGCCTCTGCTATGGCATAGACCCAGCTATAGTCAAGCTTTGTGTGACTAATGGGCCAGGTGTGTGCTTGCATTCCTCCATATCAGAAGCATCCATCAGGCTCAGTGGAAGCAGTTCACATCTCCATCTGGACTGACCATCTGCGTGACCGATGTGTTCATCTCTCTCTTGCAGGATTTGAGAAATAGAGGAACTCACAATCTCTTAGCCTATTAATACAGTGGTACCTCTAGTTACCAACTTATTTCATTCCGGAGGTCCGTTCTTAACCTGAAACTGTTCTTTACTAGATACGTGCTTTTACTAATGGGGCCTCTTGCTGCCGCTGCGCCGCCAGCACACAGTTTCCGTTCTCATCCTGGGGCAAAGTTCTCAACTCGAGGTAACTCTTCAAGGTTAGCAGAGTTTGTAACCTGAAGCGTTTGTAACCTGAGGCATTTGTAACTCGAGGTACCACTGCACTTGACTTTACCTTTCAGTTTAATGCCACATTTAAAATGCTCTAGTGCAATGTTAAACCAGAATGATACAATGAATTATTGGTTGTAGCCACCTATATATTTCAAATAATTGAGAGGTAGAATAGAGCAATGTTTGTTCATTTACTACCCTTTTATACTTCAATGCATTTTAGATAATATCATTCATCTGTATGTCAGAGGCTGTCTCTGTATTTATTTTTTAAGCTGGAGAACTGATCATACTATGTGGACATTTGTCAAGGTTATTTACTGTATACAGCTTGAGCCTTTCCAAAAGTATTGTTACAAATATTTAATGATTTGGTTCCCAAAATGGCAATGTCTTCTTGGTGGTTCTACAAATGGATTTCATTTCCCCCCAATCAAATGGCACTTTCCCCTGGCAAAGCCGCTGCAGAAGGGAGGGACCACCTGGTGCAGCTTGAAGAAGATTTGGCAGACACAACTTTTCTATCTGGAAGTCTTCTGAAGTTCTGCCACTCATGCTAGAATCCATTCTGGATTCTGGATGTCCTGTTCCACCACTTACTTAATTGGCTTTGTCAGCTCTGATACTGTGGGCTACACCTACAGATGCAAGAGGCTTCGATATTTGTGTGGGGTAGGTTTCACTGAAGATGTAGAACATATATTTGCAGAGGCATCTTGTACTGACAAGATGTGATGAATGATATTGTGCCCCCATGGAACATGACTCTGTACAAGTGCAACATAGCATCCAGGCAGCCGTCCAGCTTTGCAACAAAACTCACCAATTCCAAATCCCTATTTTTGGTGGCTTAGTTTTGCTGCAACCAGAGATGTAAATCACAGCCAGGGTGCTGTAGTGGTTGTTGTGTTGGGTTATCCCTACAGATACCTGGGATCAAATCCCTGCTTGGCGAGAAAACTTAGTGTGTGATTTTGGACCAGGCAGTCTCCCAACAATACAGGGCCTGTATAAACAACCCACAAATACCTGGGTGAATAGCTGGCACTTTAGCAAGTTTCAAAGGCACATCAAAGCTGATGCTTGCCTTGTTTCAGGCAGGATGCAGTTGCAAATGGCCCTCCTCTTGAGTTATCACAAGATAGACCTCCTGAGGCTGCAGTACAGGGTCTTCTCCAAATATCATAGCATCTATTCAGGAGGAGGCATTATTTGAGATGTCTAAAGCAGGGGTAGGCAACCTAAGGCCCAGGGGCCGGATGCTGCCCAATTGCCTTCTCAATCTGGCTTGCGGATGGTCCGGGAATCAGCATGTTTTTATGTGAGTAGAATGTGTCCTTTTATTTAAAATGCATCTCTGGGTTCTTTGTGGGGCATAGGAATTTGTTCATTTTTTCCTTCAAAATATAGTCTGGTCCACCACATGGTCTGAGGGACGGTGGACCGGCCCACAGCTGAAAAAGGTTGCTGAGCCTTGGTCTAAAGTAAGGGAAGGAAGTATGCAGCCCTTACTAGCTTTCAGTCTTCATCCATCATGATAGTAACGGACATGTTTCATGCAGAAAATGCTACAGCAGCTGCTCAGCAACTCTTCCCCCAAAATATGTGTACCTATGATAATAAAGCATCCAAATTAGTAGGCTGAAATGAGTACATTATCAGTATACCTCTCTAGCATACATTACGTAACAGTTTCACTTCCTGAATTATAAGGGCTTTGTCCCTTTTAAAAAAAAATCACATCTTGATGAAAATACAGTAATCTTCATTATGTTCTAGATGTGAGTAAGTGGCTATAATTGATGCTCTCTAAATGTATAATTAATCCCTGTTACATCTGAGAAAGATGCTGTGGTAGAAGAGAATATGCTAGTTGAGAATTGTTTTAGGTCTTGCATCCGTTCTAGCAGAAATTCAGTATTAAACTGTTCATCCACCTAAGTGTGCTACAAGGCTCTCACAAGTTCTATCAGAGGAGAGACAAGTTGATGGCACC